CTAAGACTAAATCTAAAAATAGCTGACAAAACAAATCCTATTAATGGTTCTCTAATAACATGCCACAGCTACTGTTGTGAGGGTGTTTGTTCCAAGTGTGTGTGTGTGTGTTACCTTGAAGTAAATGGGTGCCATGTCTCCGAGCTCTTTGGGCATCGGCACACACTCGTACACCATGTGCAAGTGTCTTTTCGGATTCATATGAGTCTCCAAAAACACACAGTCCAACTCCTGAGACTCGAACATGCGGACCAAAGCACGACGGAACATCTATAAGAGAGCGATATTAGAGAGAAATCTGCTGTGTGTGTGTGTGTGTGTGTGTGTTCTTTCCAAGCTGTCATCTAGAGATACAGGTCAAGATGTCGTATAGAGTTACTGATCCTGAAATATGTGATATTGGTGTTAAAATGTGTGTTTGGGACTGAGGGAAAACATGTCTGTATCATTATGTATTATAAATTCATCATTATATATTGAAAGATGAAGGAATCTACATTTATAAATTTACTGAACAACATCTGAGTGGAGTTTGCCAGTGCAGAACTCGCCATAAACGCTTGTGTTTGTGATGTTTGTACCTGTATTTCGCTCCATATGTCCTCGTCCAGGCCGGTGGCCGCTGTGTGATGCTGGATGGGAACGATCAAACAATGACCTTCGGTCAGAGACACACTGTTCGGCAGACACAAGTACACCTGCGAGAGAATCACACACACACGTCAGAGCTCAGAACAGCGTTCAAGCTTGCGCATTAATGAGGACAGCTTGCTAAAACCTAGAGCCCGTCCCGCAGCCTGTCTTCTGTCATCCCAAACACACATGGACAAGCTGAGCATCTGGGAAATCCTCTTACACACCCCGACACACACCACACGACACGGACAGGCTGGCGGAGAGATTAGTCTTTTTTTGCTGAAGATATACTTTTCTGACAGCATGAGCAAAAGGGTATTTAAGGCAAATTATTATGTGTGTGTGTGTGAATGTATGTGAGTGTGAAAGTATGTGAGTGTGTGTGTGTGTGTGTGTGTGTGTGAAAGTATGTGAGTGTGTGTGTGTGTGTGTGTGTGTGTGTGTGAGAAAGTATGTGAGTGTGGAGAGTGCATGTGTTTGTGCAAGTGTCTGTGTGTGTGTGACTGAGTGTGTGTGTGTGTGTGTGTAAGTATGTGTGTGTGGAGAGTGTGTGTGTGTGCGTGTGTGTGTGTGTGTGTGTGTGAGAGTTTAAGTATGTGAAACTTTTGACCGGTACTGTGTGTGTGTGTGTGTGTGTTTGTTTTTGTGATATATGAGGACACAAATGTGTATAATGACATGCATATTACACTGGTATTACAACTTACACGTGATATATGAGGACATTGCATGTGTCCTCATATTTCAAATAGCTTAAAAAACATAAAAAACAATGGGTTTTTTTTTATGTAAAAATGCAGCATGTCTCCTGTGATGGGTAGGTTTAGGGATAGGGGCAGTGTAGGGGGATAGAATATACAGTTTGTCCAGTATAAAAGTCATTACGCCTATGGAATGTCCTCATATATCACAAAAACAAAGCTGTGTGTGTGTGTGTGTGTGTATGTATGTATATATATATATAGGCCAATGAATCGGAAGTCTTGTATGTTCTATGAAAATACCTACTTCTGCACAAAAGAAGATGGATATGAATATAACTGCAAAATATATTGGAAATATATTATTGTCAAGCAATAATTCATATCATGTGCATCTTAGAAAGTCAATTTCCTTCTCAGTGTCAACAGATATTTAACTCAAATATGATTCAAACGTGATTCTCTAAAACCCCTCAAACTTATCGCCAGTCTTCCAGCACGCAGAAGTGTTTGTGGTAAAGCTGCAGTGAAACACACACACACACCTTGCTTCCGACGGCTGTGATGAGATGTTTGGGAAGTTCAGGACTGTCGAAGCAGTGTCTGCATTTGTCCATCCGCCCCGCTAACCTCCGCGTCTCCTGCACCGCTTTATTCCTCTGCCGCTCTTCATCTCGACCCGCTCCTTCCTTCTGCGCCGCACTCGACACAAACATGTCGTCCAGCGTGTAGTTATCGCCGTCGGTCTTCCCCATCATCTGAGAGACACGTCCATTAACAACACATTCACAGAGCACACTTTTAGCATTAACGGGGTCGTTATACGCTAATACGGGAAATACGCTAATACGGGAAATATATTCTATACAGGAAATACGCTAATACGGGAAATATGCTAATACGGGAAATATGCTAATACGGGAAATACGCTAAAACGGGAAATATAGTCTATACGGGAAATATGCCAATACGGGAAATATGCTATAGGGGAAATATGCTGATACGGGAAATATGCTAATACGGGAAATATGCTATACGGGAAATATGCTGATACGGGAAATATGCTAATACGGGAAATATGCTATACGGGAAATATGCTGATACGGGAAATATGCTGATACGGGAAATATGCTGATACGGGAAATATGCTAATACGGGAAATATGCTGATACGGGAAATATGCTGATACGGGAAATATGCTATACGGGAAATATGCTAATACGCGAAATATGCTATATGGGAAATATGCTATACGGGAAATATGCTAATACGGGAAATATGCTGATACGGGAAATATGCTATACGGGAAATATGCTAATACGGGAAATATGCTGATACGGGAAATATGCTATACGGGAAATATGCTAATACGGGAAATATGCTATATGGGAAATATGCTATACGGGAAATATGCTGATACGGGAAATATGCTGATACGGGAAATATGCTATACGGGAAATATGCTAATACGGGAAATATGCTATATGGGAAATATGCTGATACAGGAAATATGCTATACGGGAAATATGCTAATACGGGAAATATGCTGATACGGGAAATATGCCATACGGGAAATATGCTGATACGGGAAATATGCTATACGGGAAATATGCTAATACGGGAAATATGCTAATACGAGAAATATATTCTATACAGGAAATACGCTAATACGGGAAATATGCTAATACGGGAAATATGCTAATACGGGAAATACGCTAATACGGGAAATACGCTAATACGGGAAATATATTCTATACAGGAAATACGCTAATACGGGAAATATGCTATACGGGAAATATGCTAATACGGGAAATACGCTAATACGGGAAATACGCTAATACGGGAAATATGCTAATACGGGAAATACGCTAAAACGGGAAATATAGTCTATACGGGAAATATGCCAATACGGGAAATATGCTATAGGGGAAATATGCTAATACGGGAAATATGGTAATACGGGAAATACGCCAATACGGGAAATATGCTATAGGGGAAATATGCTAATACGGGAAATATGCTAATACATGACATATGCTAATATGGGAAATATGCTATAGGGAAATATGCTAATACGGGAAATATGCTAATACGCGAAATATGCTATAAGGGAAATACGCGAAATATGCTATATGGGAAATATGCTAATACAGAAAATATGCTAATACAGGAAATATGCTAATACGGGAAATATGCTATACGGGAAATATGTTAATATGGAAAATATGCTATACGGGAAATATGCTATACGGGAAATATGCTAATACGGGAATATGCTAATACGGGGAATATGCTAATACGGGAATATGCTAATACGGGAATATGCTAATACGGGACAGTCCGTCAGTAGTCGTAGGCGGAGCATGAGCAATATGACATCATATTGCTCAGAAAATCCAAACGGCTTGATTATTGAGAGTGTTTAGACTTTTTGACGATTAAAAAAATGAGTGACTGGATTTTTTTATTGTGGTGTGGTGGTTGTGTCCACACACTGCAAACATCACATAAAAGTGAATTTTGCATCCGATGACCCCTTTAAAAGGTTCACTTCACTTTATTCGCATACAGACTTTTATCACGAAAGGTTCACTCTGTCCTGCATGTCTGTGAGTTTAATCTTTTAAAGGCTGAAAGCTGCTTCAGGACAGAGGAAGGAGAAATGTTTTATGAGATCTATAAATCCCTGCTATACTTGTACTTTAATAGTAAGACAAGTACGTACTAGTAAATGCAAATCTATCTTTTATTGGGTCACAGATCCTCTTAAACTACAGCAATATCGGTCCAAAATACTTTAGAATTAGTACATTATCTTGCACCCTTTATATACTATCTACAATAATAATAATAGCAAATTTTATTTATAATGTGCTTTTCTAAAACCCAAAGCGCTACAGTAAAATAAAACAAAAAGCAACAATAAGAACAATATAAAAGTTAATTGAAAACAACCATAAATAAATTAGTCTTAACCAACTTTTTTTTACTATGTAAATTAATATCAATATACGATGATTCATTGCACCCTAATTATTATCTTCTATGATAATATGCAAATTAGGGAGGAAAAGAGGTCAGAAAATGAACAGCCATAAATATTACTATTGTAATTTTACAGTTATTATTATGTATTTTTCCTAAATACTTTTAATTTAATTCTTACAGTGAAATCACAATAGTAATATTTCTTATTTAGTTTTTTTGTAGTCATTTTTATATTTTTATTTAGTAATAATAATGAATATTATTAGACTAGTATGCATCATCACAATAATTTCATCACAGTTGGTTCTTCATTCTATTAATGTTAGTCAAAGGGAGATTCTCAAACTTAAAATATATTTTTTAATTAAAATAGGAATTATTATAATTAAATAATATTATTTTATAGCCATACTGATATATAATAAGTAATAAAAAATGGCTAAATTGTGCAGCAAACGTTGGTTTGATAAAAAAAAAAGTACCTTTTACAATTCCAATTTGACTAATTATTACTAATCAGCAAAAATTGCAACTCGATTTTTTTATGTGATCTGATCAGATCTGTGGGCAAAAGGGGTCTTAAACCCAACTGTGGAGTAGCGATTGGATTGGTCGTCAGGAGTCATGTGATCTGACTGCGGATTTACTGCTGATTGCTGGTAAAACTGCGGGTCATTATCTGGAGTAACGTCCAGAAAACAGCAGTGGCAGATGTGACCAGGCCACGGGGATTACGCCAACAGTGTGTGTGTGTGTGTGTGTGTCACGCTCTCTTCAGACACCAACACACACTAGAGTGAGAGAGGCTTAACGGTGTGGTTCAACAAGCAGACAAGGAGGCAATGTATCCGTAGCAACGGGTGATCTGTGTGGGAGCGTGTGTGTGTTCACACTGGCATGTTTGATTGACAGATGGAGAGGAGTCGAGGTGAGAGCGAGTGTGTTGGAGAGTCTGCATGAAATCAGACGAAACTCTACATTTATTCTCTGCATTGCTGCTTTCTCCGGCTAAGAGAGTATGACAGACCAGAGAGTTTGAGCTTAGTGTGTGTGTGTGTGTGTGTAGTTCTGTTGGTTATTGTCTGGATTACATGTACAGCACACAGGAGATGCTGGATATTAAAGAGAGGCAAAAAAGAGCAATCACAAGAAAGAGCAGATATTACAATAACTTCATCACAGCTGGTTCTAGATTCTATTACTGTGAGTCAAAGGGAGATTTTAAATGATTAAAATTAAAATGATGAATCAAATTATATAATTATTAAAAAAATAGTCAAATTAAAAAAAATCACTAAGCACATTTCATTATGTAAATAAATGCAAGCGAGAAAACTATTTGCATTTTTAGTATGCAAATATTACATTGCTGATGGTTATATTTCACATGTTGGACACTCTATTAATGTCAGATGTATAACTTTAATTAGAGATGCACCGATTGATCGGCTGGTGACCGGAATCGGACGATTTTCACGTGATCGGCGACCGGCCGGTCAGTCTGACATGCCGATTTTATGCCGGTCAAATGCACTCGGGCGCCGCATGATTAACATCGCGCAACATCAGCATCACACGTGCACACGGAACACACATGTAGGAAACCTCGTGAATTACGACCGTTTCACACCGCAAGCGTGAGCAGCGGGGTTTTTTTTTTCTTCGGCGTGCATGTTAATCAATGAGTGCATTCACACCGGGAGCCGGAGCAGCGCGTGAGCGTCGCGTGAGCAACAGTGAAGCGCGGGTTTCGGCGCCGAGTCTATTCTGCTCGCGCTCAATTAAAGTGAAAGCATACTTTTGATTGACAAAATAAATATGATTTCACCCCAAAAGTGCCCAAAATGCACAGAATTTGCACGTCTGGTGTGTTTTAACAAGAACTGAAGTAGCCAGGCTATGTCAGAAAAGAAAATTAAGACTCAAAAATATTTATAGAAAATAACTTGTTTTTATTCCCAATCGTTTCCCTGCACATGCTCCACTTGTCCTGTTTAGCCTGGCTGGACATGTGTCAGAGTCAAATATAACTTGCCATTGATGTACAAGTGATTGCAATAGGCCTGAAGTGTGTGTGTTGAGAAATAGATAATGCAAGGGTAGGCTATATTTATTTTATTTTTATTTGTTATTTATATATTATTTTATTGCCATTACCTGTTTTCATACAAAAGTTTAGTTTGCTTAATATATCAATTTTTTTTAGTTGGATATTGGATGTGAAAAGGAAATGGTTCTTCCATAACACTGCACTTTAGATGTGTGTGGATTTCCCACACCAGGAGTAATTTATATAGTCCTATTTTATAGCGATTATCTGTTAAAAAAATGTTCTATGCAAAATGTTCTATTAAAGAGAAGATAGAAAATAAATATTTGTGTGTGCTGTAAAGTGGTTTAAAAAAAGGAAATCGGAATCGGCTAAAATCGGTATCGGCAGGTCAAACTCAAGGAAAATCGGAAATCGGAATCGGCCTAGAAAATTGTAATCGGTGCATCTCTAACTTTAATCTTATTTTTTTTAACCTCTGGTGCTGTTCTGACTATTTTTGACTGAAACATTTTACTTTTTTTTTTTTTTTTACTTCATCGGAATGGTTTGAAACTTGGTTTTGGCACTTGTGTGAACAAGAAAAAAATAAATAAATCACGGACATGATTCGAGCCTAAATACTTTGATTTTCTCACAGTTTCAGAGTAAAACGTGTTTTGGAAAATATACTTCATATAAAAATGTTAACAAAATATTTTTTTTCCCTTTTTCATAATAATAAAGTTCAATGAATTTTTAGTTTTTGAATTTTTTTACTTTTTTAACTTTTCACATCAGCAATAATCTGCCAAGTGTGATCTCCAAAAAGAGACCCAACTTAAGCCTGTGCTTGAGATTTATGTTTAAGTTTGGAAATGACATTTTCAGATCTATGCTCAAAAAGTGATTAACAGTTAATAAATGGTTCATAACTATACCATAAATAAAATTTAGTACCATCAAATTTCCTAAAAATACAAAATATCAAATAAAAAACGATATTGAACTAAATAGTACATTCATTTAGTTGAAATAAAAATAAATAATCCGGCCATTTTTGACCGCCACGCGAAGAGCATAATATTTAATAAAATGATGACCACAAAGCAACAGATGCAAAAAAAGAGACCAAGCACATTTCAGTATGCAATTTCAAGAAAAAAACAAACAATTCGCCTTTGGCTAAGCCCCGCCCCCCTTAGTTACTGTTGCTACGTCCGACAAACAAACTTCATCTGGGCTCTGGTATCAACATGGCTTATGCTGTGACAGCTCTTCCTGCTGAAATTTGATCAAACTTTTATAAAGCAGCAAATAAAGTGTCCGATAGAAGTAGGCAAAAGGGGCTGCAATATACGTTCGAAGGCTATATTCACGACATACAGGTGAAACGCAAGGAACAACAAGGCATCCAAATAGAGGCAAAAGCATACCGGTCACAGTCAAAATATGAACCACCGCATATCCTACTAATGGAGACGGAGGCTGGGACTAACAATATCTGTTCATGCAAAGCTCTATTCACTTCTATAATCGTTATTACACAGCAAACGGACTACGCGAGTATAACGTTGTATTTATTAGCAGCGTGTGCTAGACGACACTTGTCAGGATTTGACTTCGGTTTGGGAAGGGAAAAAACGCACACCCCCCTCCAACCTCTCTGGGAAACGCGTATCTGTGTTACAAATGCCCCAGGCACAACGTTTAACCATATTTCTGATAAAACTACGACGGTAATAATAGCCTGGCGAGACCAAAACTATGAGACGCCTGTGTTAAACTCAATGGAGCGCTGTGAAAAAGTGCCGGACCTCTGTGGGAGCTCGTTCTTGGCTGCGCTGTGATTGGTCAATCTACATTCTAGGGTGTGGCTTAGCCAAAGGCGAATTACATCATGCAAATACCATAATGATGTCACTGGGCTGTCAGTTAGATTTTGAATAACGAACATTCCGTCAGTGTGATGCAGACGTTCTAAACATGATCTGCCAAACAGTTTGAATAGACACTGACATTAAGCAGCTCCAGGTGAAACGAAGGCAACAATGTCAACAAAGACGAAACTCAATGTTTGAGAAATAACAATACAGTGCCCTGCGATTACACTAACTAACACTCAGTTTTGCCTTCTGCTGATGAAACTGGTGAAATAAATATATTAATAACACTTTTAGCTGCTATGTTATGGTAACTTGGCAGAGAGAGAGAGAGAGCGAAGTGCCGCTAAAATGTGCAAATGTTTGTCACTTTCATATTTCTCGTCTCCATGGCGACGGTGACGTCTTAGTTTATTCTAACAGATTTTGAGTAGCCCTGCCCGGTTTAAAAGTCTGAGATGGGAGATTGATCACAGGAATACTGCGGCTTTTACCGCCACCATCTGCTGATGCCAGTCTGGCTCACGACGAGAGATGAGCACTGGGAAATATAAGACTGTCTCATTTCTGACACACTAAGCATTCAAATCTTTTTTTTCCAGAAACTACGAAAACACTGGAAAAGGAAAAATGTTTAGGCCTAAATTTAAGATCATTTAATCGAACTGCATATAACATGTACATCCATTTGGACGCATTCAATGTAATGCAATGCATTTTTAACTGTATATTCTATACATAAATATATATAAATATATTTAAAGTCCCTGTAAAGTCAAAATTAAGTATGTGTTCTGAGTTTCTCACACCACAGAAAAATGTGTTATTAGTCACCCAGCCAAATTTGAAAGATAAAAAAAGCCAGCAAGTACATAAAATAAGCTATCAAAATCTTGAAAAAATTAGCAGTATTCTCTGCTCTCAAACGCTGGGGGCGTGTCCGCTGGCTGTGCTGAAGCCACGCCCACTCGCGGGAAAGCTGCCGTCGCCACACTCAACTCTACAGCCGAAATGGATGCTCGCACGGTGGGCACGCACTGCCGATGATGGCACCAGTTGTCGGCGCGACTGGAGGATGAAGGCTGAGGCGGGAGTCGGTTCGGCCCCATTCACCAGTAACAGCGGATTATCAGTGAATCCCAGTTGTCTCTGATGAAAGTTTATAAAACTATCCCGTGTAAAATGATCACTTACAGAGGTGGGTTTTGGCGGTGATCCTCAGCTCTCCATCAAGGTGGCTCTTCACAAAATTAATCCACTTCTTCTTGATGTAATCGTTTTTCGGAAATGTAAATAAGGACACCGATCTGTTTTGTACTGATCCGGTGATCGCATCCAGGTAGTAACGTTACGCATTTCCGTGACAAAGGCATAGCTAGCTAGCAATCTGTAGGCCGTTACTAATAATAGTACTGACAGTAACTCGCGAATGAGCGGCAAACTGATGTGAATGTGCTCTATAATATTGTTAGGAGCGGCCAGCCTCAGCGGCTTTAGTGCATCATCAAGTAGGGGCGTGTCCAGGAGCTCAAGGGCTCCAGTGCGTCATCGAGTCCCGTTTTAGCCCCGCCCAGAAAATCCGGAAAATAGCAATGGTGAAAAACTGTTTAACGGTCTAACTCCACAATTCAGTACTTCACAGTTCACAGTCTTTGTAATATGTTTATTCAATACATTTCTAACATTTATAATGTGTTTAGAATTTTTTTTTGAAATTGCCTTTACAGGGAGTTTAAATGAACAGATTCATTGAATTAGATGATTATCTAATTCAAATCAAATTGATGCACCCCCGTTTCATCAATGTATGACTTACAAATATGCATACCATAATGTTCAGTAGTTGTTTATATTAAAACTGTGCAAACCAAATGGATGTCAATTTTATATGCATATCAAATGCATAAATCTTACATTTATAAAGAGTTTTGGAGTGTATCTCACAGGAGACAAATCAAATGTGTAGTCATTATATTTGCTGCTCAATTGCAAAAAAATTTTTTTTTATTGCATCTCATCAGTACTCTCATAACAAATATTAACGACCTCCAGTTGCTTTTTCACTGCAAATGTTTTTATGAACGTCCGTTTAGAATTACAGACTTTAATTTATCGATGGAAGCTTGTTTCCGCCACAGAATAAAAAAAAAAAGAAGGTAATTGCGACTTTTTATCTCTCAATTTTGACTTTTTTTTCTCCGAATTGTGTGATATAAAGTCGCAATTGTGAGTTATATCAGGTTTTTTTTTACTACATTTTTTAAATTAAAGCTCAAACTTTATATCTACTAATATCAAACTAATATGGAAGCTTGTTTCCGCCACAGAATAGACAATATTTTTATCTCATAATTGCAAGTTTATATCTCTCAATTCTGACTTAACTCGCAATTTAGACTTTATATCTCCCAATCAGAGTTTCCGCTAGAAAAAAATGGTGCCGGTCAAAGTGACCGGCAGAGGTTTCGTTTAACGGACATTTGACATGTGATCTTAATTTTAATCAATGTTTCATCAACAAATTTGCCTGGATTAATAAATAAGAAGCAAATATAGTGGACAATATAATCAGTTCACGGAGGCGCTGGCGCGTGCACACTTCTCTCTATAGGCGCGTTCACTACTGCGAAGATGGCGAGTCTGCATCGTCAACTTTATCAATTTATCAACTTTATCAATAATTCAAATGTTTCATGCATAATCATTACTTTCGCCGGTTATTTGTGGCAAGCTTTATTTCAGGTGTTGCGTGATATCTCTGCGCCCAAGTAGCAGTGCTTCGCCTGTGCTTCCAAACATGCATTTGCCCACCTATCTAAATGTAGGGGAGACCGTGAATAACCCCAATTTAAAAATAAATGGAGTGTTCCTTTAAGGCTAGCCTGCCCGGACCTGGCCATATTTGAAACGTCTCACTCAATCGTTCGTTGTTTAGGTCTATATTACAGCGTTCTAGCCGTGCGCTTTATTTGAAATGCAGCATGCGATGTTTAATAACTTTCAAACAGTAGAGCCTGTTAATTTATAACATAGCCAAAGGTCAGTGTATTTTTGCTTTATACATTTTAGGCGTATTCTCAAATTCATATTGTGTTAGGGGGGCGGGATTATTACGCAATTTTAATCGGACAATTTGACCGGAGAGATTTAATTTTGTCGGACATTTAATTTTTTTCCCGGCCAATGTCCGGTAATTACCGGACAACGGAAACCCTGCTCCCAATTGCATGTTATAAAGTCAGAATTGCGTGATATGAACTTGCAATTATGAGATAAAAATATTGTCTATTCTGTGGCGGAAACAAGCTCCCATATTCATCAGTGTCTGGTGTGTGAGAGGATGGGCGCTCACCTTGGCGGCCATGCGTGAGTAAAGAGCGTTCTGGTCCTCCGCAGAGCTCATCTTCTCCCGCCTGACCATCTCTCGCAGATCCACACCATCATCATCCTCAAAGTAGCGCACGCGCTCGCCGCCCTGATGCGTCTCAACCTATAAAGACATCACACGAGAGGAGAAAATGTGATTGAAGTTGTTAATTTAAACAGGACCTCTAATGCTGGTTTCCATGTTCATCTTTCTTTAGTGTGTGATGTTGCCGTTTGAGTTCTTCTCTATATCAGTGTTTCTGAACTCCTGAAACGCCTCCATTGTAGTCTTGAGTTTCCTCCGGGAACGAACACGTCATAATATTCCTCATTATAATAATTCATACGCAGAATAAAGGGGCGGGGCCTGGTTGAGTTAGTTAGTAGTGTGTTAAACTGGTGGTTATGGGAAGAGCGGGACATTTTCCAAACACACTCGAAGCGCTCGACCAATCACAACACACTGATCCAGCCAACCAATCAGAGCACAGTGTGCTTTTCAGAAGGCGGGGCTTCACAGAGACAGGAACTAAACAGAGCGTTACTGACAGACTGGGAAGAGAGGTGCCGCAACAATGGAGAATATGAGGGAAATAATGTGTTTTATGAACATTCAAGCATGAAAATTTATGAAAGCTCGTTTCCGCTACAGAATAAAAAATAAAAAAGGTAATTGCAACTTTAAATCACTATTCTGACTTTTTTTCTCAGAATTATATCTCGCAATTCTGACTTTATATCACACAATTGTGAGATATAAACTTGCAATTGCCAGTCAGTCTTTTTTTCCTTAGAATCAGACTTTATAACACACAATTGCGACTTTATACAGTATCTCGCAATTCTGACTTTATATCTCGCAATTCAGAGAAAAAAGTTGCAATTATCTTTTAAAATGTTTGTTTTTCTGTGACGAAAACAAGCTTCCATAAAAACCTGTTCTAGTAGAGCCCAAAAACAAAATCAAGACTACGTAAAACAGCATGATAGGTCCCCTTTAAAGTAAATAAACTCCAAACCAAGAACCAAAGGAAGCAAAATCACATGGAAACAACCTGAGTGTGTGTCTCACCGCTTTCCGCTTCCTCCGTCCTCCTCGAGGCTCCAGTGTCTGCGACAGGGCGTTGACCGGCCAGGCTCGTCCCGACGGGTCGGTTCTGAACAACACCACTTCCTTCTCCGAGTCGGGTGGTGCAGACACTGGTGTGGTCTGGACTTTTCTCTGAGCTCGGCTCTCTTTGGCTCGACGGGCAGCGTCCATCTGAGCGTTCAGTTTGTCCACCAGCGCCTGTGGATATTCACACACAAGTTTGACACAATGTTATTTTCGTCAACGATGACGATAACGAAATGATTTCGTTGACGCACTTTTTTTTATGTCGATAACGCGACGATGACTAGCTAAAAATGGCTCTAAGGTGACTAAAACATGACGATACGTTTTCGAGTTTTCGTTGACAAGACGAGACAGAACGAAAATGACTATAAGTCTGACGTTCGCAATGCATGTCATTTCTGCCTATTTTGCGTGAAATCTTTCTGTTTTGAGCTAAAAAAAAGTATCAGCAATGCTGCCGCTTCCTATCATTGTTTTGGGTACCCATGCCGCGCGCGCACCAGATTCCACACAACAACACACCTGCGGCTGCGGCTAGTCACTCACCACACATCTTCAAAGGACCATGGCGGCGAAGCCAATAAACGGGCTTGGTGGTCGGAAACGACGAGATGATTTATGGACATACTTTCAGTTTCAGTATAATCCAGCGGTTCTCAAAGTGTGGGCCGCGCCCCACTGGCGTGACAGGTCTCCTCCAAAACGGGAGGAAATTTTCCGTTGTATGCCTTTTTATCTTTATTCGTTCATGGCGAGTCCGCATCGTCAAATTCATCTTTGTAGCGACACCGAAAACACCAGTTTATTAATAAACAATTAAATGTATCCTTGCTATTTTTTTACACATTCGTAATCATAATCGTTCTTTGTGGCAAGCTTTATGCGTGCGGTCGTGCGCTTGAGTGCGGCTATAACGCTCAATATCCCGTATAGCCTATTTAAGTAGTTAAATTAATATAAAGGGGCGATTTGTCCACTAATGGCTTAAATGAAGAACTACTAGTCGACTAGAATAAAAACTTTAGTCAGAGGCAGTTCTTATTCCACATATCTCGAACCAGCAGGCCATTCTGTGTTGAGCGCGCGACCCTGAGCTGAATGAGCGAGCGGAGGGATATTCAGAAATGCGCTCTCCGCTCATGCTCTGATCGGAACAAAGGAATATTAAAGTAATGAATCATTAGTTTATATCTTATACACTGCCCATACACTACCCATCATTTTAATCCCATATCAAACACAGTATGTTATGTCTACACTCACCGGCCACTTTATTAGGTACACCTGTCCAACTGCTCGTTAACACTTAATTTCTAAGCAGCCAATCACATGGCGGCAACTCAGTGCATTTAGGCATGTAGACATGGTCAAGACAATCTCCTGCAGTTCAAACCGAGCATCAGTATGGGGAAGAAAGGTGATTTGAGTGACTTTGAACGTGGCATGATTGTTGGTGCCAGAAGGGCTGGTCTGAGTATTTCAGAAACTGCTAATCTACTGGGATTTTCACGCACAACCATCTCTAGGGTTTACAGAGAATGGTCCGAAAAAGAAAAAACATCCAGTGAGCGGCAGTTCTGTGGGCGGAAATGCCTTGTTGATGCCAGAGGTCAGAGGAGAATGGCCAGACAGGTTCGAGCTGATAGAAGGGCAACAGTGACTGAAATAACCACTCGTTACAACCGAGGTATGCAGCAAAGCATTTGTGAAGCCACAACACGCACAACCTTGAGGCGGATGGGCTACAACAGCAGAAGACTCCACCGGGTACCACTCATCTCCACTACAAATAGGAAAAAGAGGCTACAATTTGCAAGAGCTCACCAAAATTGAACAGTTGAAGACTGGAAAAATGTTGCCTGGTCTGATGAGTCTCGATTTCTGTTGAGACATTCAGATGTTAGAGTCAGAATTTGGCGTAAACAGAATGAGAACATGGAACCATCATGCCTTGTTACCACTGTGCAGGCTGGTGGTGGTGGTGTAATGGTGTGGGGGATGTTTTCCTGGCACACTTTAGGCCCCTTAGTGCCAATTGGGCATCGTTTAAATGCCACGGCCTACCTGAGCATTGTTTCTGACCATGTCCATCCCTTTATGGCCACCATGTACCCATCCTCTGATGGCTACTTCCACCATGTCACAAAGCTCTAATCATTTCAAATTGGTTTCTTGAACATGACAATGAGTTCACTGTACTAAAATGGCCTCCACAGTCACCAGATCTCAACCCAATAGAGCATCTTTGGGATGTGGTGGAACGGGAGATTCGCATCATGGATGTGCAGCCGACAAATCTGCGGCAACTGTGTGATGCCATCATGTCAATATGGACCAAACTCCCTGAGGAATGCTTCCAGCACCTTGTTGAATCTATGCCACGAAGAATTGAGGCAGTTCTGAAGGCAAAAGGGGGTCCAACCCGTTACTAGCATGGGGTACCTAATAAAGTGGCCGGTGAGTGTATTTTATCTATTTAAAAAAATATATATATCACGTTTTTAAGTAGGCGAAAGGCAGAGAGCTGTGTGTATTCTTCTTCCCTTTGCCACATCATATCTCTGTGAGATGGGCTTTTCAGCTGTTTCAGTTTCACTGAAAACAAAGTACAGATCTCAGCTGAACATTGAGCTTGACTTTTGAGAAATTGTGCAATTCAAAACAGGCTCCTTGCAGCCACTAATGCAGGGATAAATAGACCTGTCTTGCCAAATGGATTTCTATTCTTTTCTATTTTTAACAGATTGCAAAGTGGCACTTTTATTTCTTTTCTATTTTTGAACTTGATACCAATTTTGACACAGGCGCATTTTATTTTCTCTATTTTTTAAAGACTTTTTATTTTTTACTAAAATTGACTAAAACTTGACTAAAACCTTTTTTTGTTTTCGTCGACTAAAACTTGACTAAAACTATTAAGTTTTTAAGTGACTAAAATGTGACTAAAACTAAAAAGCATTTTCGTCCAAAAGACTAAGACTAAGACTAAAACTAAAAGGGCTGCCAAAAACAACACTGGTTTGACAACAGCAAAACATACCATCGGTTTCTGACAGTCCACTTTTAGCATACTGTACAAGAACAAGTCAAGTCACCTTCATTTATACAGCACTTTTAACAATATGTGACCCTGGATCACAAAACCTAAGCAAAAAGAGATCGCTAGTTAATACCACTAACAAGGCTCAAATTAGCCCCACACTAACACGGCAGCATAATGAGGGTCCTTACATGCAAACCGAAGCATTGAGAACTTTGTAAGTGTATAGACAGCTTAATAAGAAGATACTTTACACAGACAGTACAGTTAGCACATACAGACAGGAGCCATCTTGGAAAACAGCTTCCTATTTAGACAACATTTTTGATTTCAGCACAGTTTTGATGAGCTCACCGTGTTTCCCATGAGTTCTGCCTTGACCAGTTTGGCTCCCAGTTTATTCATCTCTTCATCCGTTAGGATCAGCTCTTCCTCCTCCTCCTCTTCCTCACTCTCTGAACTGGAAGATTAGCAAACACAATCAGTTTTAGCATAACTAACGTTCACAAAAGTATGAGTAAAAATGTCAAGAACTTGTATAGAACAAATCAATGTCCCATGAATCCATTACTAGATACGAATTTCTAACAGTCGTGTTGATTCACACAGATTTGCTTACGAATCACGTTCGACCAATTAAACGAAAAAGACCAACGCAAAACAACGACACAAATTAGATTACATATTACATAAATGGAAAATAAATTAATATATTATTATAATATAATATTCATATACATCATATATTAATATATTTTATAATAATATATTATTGAAATATATTATATTGCAATAAATGTAAAATATATTGTGCTTTATAATTAGTACATTTTTAGACTTCCTCATATTAATATATTTTATAATAATATATTATTGAAATATATTATCTTGCAATAAATGTAAAATATATTGTGCTTTATAATTATAACTAGTACATTTTTAGACTTCCTCATATATAGAGATTTTTTGAAGAACTGGTTCTTCAAAAAAAAAAAAAAACAGTAGTTAAAAATAATTACAATCATTCTTAAAATAAGAAATAGCTGAATTATTTGATGGTTTGTCTTATTTTAAATTATTTTAATCCAGTGTCAGACAACCAGCAAAATATTCAAACAAAATGTTGCATGATGGGCGAAAGGGTCAGACTGTGAGTCTGTGAATGTGCAAGACTTATGATTCATGAGCCAATATTAGTAAATCACTAGAAGTATAAAATAGTGCAGTAGATAAAACTATTTGCGCAACAAACCAGTGCGTTTATAATTACGACAATACATGCAAATATTATGGTAAGAAACGCTTGTTTGCAATATAATGCAGTATAACAAGCTGTTTTGTACAGCTAACGGCTTTGACAAACACGTTTTTGGTTTTAAAACGCATCTTTTTCTCTCCATTTTGTCCTTCCATCCACACTGAGACGGCGTTTCTATTCTTGAAAACTAAGCTTTTTGAAAACACACTCCAAAGTGGATGAAATTGAAAACGCGTTTCGTGTTGTAGTGTGAAGTCAAAACAAAGGTATTTAAAAACGATGACGTAAGTTTAGTCATGTGACGCGTATTGCACCAATAGATATTCGTGTTTATAACGGGTATTGTGCCTGTTATGTGCTGTTCACTTTCACGCCGTTCCTAAAATATGTTACTTTGCTCACTCTTCACATCACAGTCCTGCAAATATGACAGAAAATTTACTCGCATTTGCTGTCCTGCGGCAAACATGAGAGTTTTACACCAAACATATGGTGAGTGAGCGCAACCTGGACGCATCAGTGAATGCTGAGATATTCTGCTAAATAAAATTATCCTGCCAGATTAGAATTGCGCGATGACTTTATTATTTATTTTTCCATCTGTATCATCTTAGTGAGTTTTTTGAGGGTTTACGCATATAAGTACGATGAAATTAGTGATTTCCGATGTTTCGGTGTGGATGAGAAACTTCTGGAAAAGCCCAGTGTGGATGGAGAGGGTTTTTTAAACAAAAACCCCGTTTCCAAATGTATCCGTAGACGTATTAATGTAGTTGAGCTAGGGCTGGGCGATATGGCCAAACATTTTTTTTTATATCAGTCGATATCGATAATTATCACGATAAATGTCAAATCTTTATTTCTTTCAAGTTTAAAGGCAGATTTTTGCTCCTAAGTGAAAGTTGTAGAAACCAGAGCGTTAATTGTGGTTTTAAACTAGGCCTACTCTTTATTGTCAGAACATATCATGACAAACACTTGCCAAACAGGTGAACATTTCATAAATCTGAGGTAAAACATCATTTGTCATTTTTCCTAAACAAAATAAATATCTGAATAGAAAAATATATTTCTTAGTTTCTGCATGTGCTAATGGGAGATATTGTTAAGTCTTGAAACAGGTTTGTGTTGCCTGACTTTGATGGCTCGCATCTTCAGCACAGTTTGCAGTGCAGGCTGCAATATTAATATTACATGTTTTGTCTCAAAATGGATATTTGACAGTGAGTAGACAGTAAATCTGCATCCTAACTCAAGCTAATACTACTATGTTAAATTTATGTTCATTAACAAAAACAGTAACATCTGTTAAAAAAATTAACTACCACATTTTTATTTGGTAAAATGTAATATTCTGAGTTTTATTCAAATTAACCATTGGTTATCCAGTATCATGCATTTAGATCGTGATAACCACAGATAAAGCCAGGCATAGCCTATAGCACCTCACTATCATGGCAAAATGTAACTTTATGGTTTCTATGATATTTGTATGAAAAAAAAAGTAGCCTAAATACATTATTAAATACTGTAATTATATTCAATTAGCCCTGCTTACTGAGAAGGTGCCGTGCACAGAAGCGATGTCAAGGGAGTCTCCTGATTGGAGGTAACTCACCAAGTTCACATATCGCGTCTTTTGCGCGCTCGAGGTCGTTATTTCAAATGTAGGCGCACGGGAAGCGCGCTCATAATTGAAGCGACGCGCTCATTTTTTTCAGGAGCAGCGAGATGAACATTTTTTAATCTTTTCAGTATGGGGGTGCACCCAAACACGTGGGTGTTTTTCTCTTCTCCGTAAATAAATCCTTTAGCAGAGCTACAGCAAGCGTTTTTGTGTGGTGGAAATCCATTAGCTACTAAAACTTCTTTGTCGTTGTGGAGAGCGCAGTGCATGGTTGTATAGCAACGACAGCCATGGGAAAATCGGACCGAATTTTACTATTAATAATAAAAAATAAGCTACTGTGCATTATAAATGTCAGGAATTTATCTTTATTGACCCATTCTTTTTATAAAGATGATTTAAAGGCTGAAATATGTGAGGTTTATCTTTTTATAAAACCTTTTTTGTCAAAAGTTTATTTGAACGTGTACATGTTATTAGATAACATAAAACACACTCCTTTAAAATTTGGCCATCATCATTAATGTTATTAACTTGGTGAATAGATTTCATTGTGTATTAGGCCTTCTTTTTGAACAAGATTCTGTGTTTAACCGTGATCATTTTGATCATCGGGGTGAACGCTCGAAGGGGGTCTCGCCCAGGCTGTAATTCAATGTAGAACCGCCACTGGCTACTAGGCTAACCTTACAGTCAATCCATGGTAAATGGATTCAGTATCAATTCATATTCTGACTGTATCACAGTGTGTCTCCTGTTCGTCAGCGCTGTTTCATCTGCCTTTAAACTGGTTTAAATCACTGAGACGTTTGTGTTCTTCGCTTTTTCAATCGCTTCTCACTGGATCTCGTGAGCGAGACGATCAGAGTAAGCGCGTCTGCTCTAGTTAGCTCGCGCTGCCGTTTGGACTTTGAGCCGAGCGGATAAAGTCCGGGAGGCGCGCGCGGTTCAAATGAGTTTCGTTCCGCTTTTGGCGCATAAACATTATCGAACATTTATCGAACTCTTGATATCGTTTTATCGAGAAAAATTATAGCGCGATAATTATCGTTATCGTTTTATCGCCCAGCCCTAAAGGCCCGTTCACACCAACCACAACAACTATAAAGATAACGATAAAGATAACTATATGCGTCCACACCAACGACTGATAACGGTCTTTTTATTCTAAGCACGCGCGCGCCCGCGCTGCGGTTTCAAAGTAGACCTTTAAATTAGATTGGCTGTCAGTGTTTTATCGTTCGACAGCTGGAAAAAAATCGTTCTGAAAGTGATCCAAACGATATCGTTCCTCATATCTTTATCGTTATAGTTGTGGTGTGAACTCTGTTATTCTTTAATATGGAGAACGATGTTTAGAATTATATCTTTATCGTTATCGTGCTTGGTGTGAACGGGCCTTAAGTCGAGCCTAAAAATACCTGGAAGGGAGTGACACCGGAAGCCAGACACAATTTACAAATGGGGGCGCCACTATGAGGTAGATCGAGTGAAGTGTCTTCTCGTCTAAAACCACCAGCTCCTATTCTTCATTCTGACCTGCTCACTGTTGTTGTTTTGCTCTCCTCCTGCAGGGCGGCGCTCTTCTCTGTGTGTTTCTGTGGGGTTGGCGTCGTCTTTGAATCACTGCTCTTCCTCCAGGCAGCTACAACCCCATCATCATCATCATCATCAGGTTTTCTGAATCCTGTCCTCTGATTGGACGAGGAGCCCTTCTGCACCCCCCTCCTCGACGCTGGCCCTGCGCTCATATCCTCGTCGGCATCGGAGGGTTTGAGGAACTTGTCACTGAGGCTGTACAGAGAGGAAGTGATGCGTCTCTGAGACTCCGGATCCTCGTCTGGATCCGGCCCGGATCTCTGATCGCGTTCCTCGTGGTCGAGAGACCTTCTCTCAAAGTCTCGTTCTCTTTCTCTCTCGGTATTTGGAGATTTGTCTCGCCGTCCTCTCCTCCATTCTCCATTCTCTCTCCCTTCTTCTCTCTTCCATCTCTCTCTCCCTTCTTCTCTGTCGTCTCTTTTCCATCTCTCTCTCCCTTCATCTCTGTCGTCTCTTTTCCATCTCTCTCTCCCTTCATCTCCATCATCTCTCTTCCATCTTTCATCTCTGTTGTCTCTCCTGCATCTCTCTCTCAATTCATCTCTCTCTTCTCTCCTCCATCTCTCTCTTCCCTCGTTTCGGTCTCCTCTCCTCTCACCCCTCTCCTCTCTCCTCTCTCCATACGCGACCTCCTCCGCCTCTCGCAGTTTCCTCTGGAATTCCTCCATGGACTACAGAGGGAAGAGAGAACCATCATAACACATCATTAAGGCCGGTTTCCACCGAGAGCCGAGTTTAGTACATGTCACCCTCGGTGGGAAACGGTACCCATAAGGGTTTTAGGGATTCGGGATGCAGAAGAGAAAATAACCATGAGCTCCATATGTCAACATGATTTCAACTTAATAAAAAAAAAAAAAAATTTATGAGCTGTACTACCCAGCAATCCTGAAGAAAAAGATCAATCTTTTTTACTTATTGCATTTATCAAATATTGGAATAATATATCATTAAAACTCACACACACGTATACATACATATAAATATATATATATATATATATATATATATAGATAGATAGATGATAGATAGATAGATTCAAATATTATAAGACTATATTATATTATGAATATATATTAATATACAGCCTAATAAACCTACTGGCATTTATATATATATATATATATATATTTATATATACACACAAAGATGATAGATAGATAGATACAAATATTATAAGACTATATTATATTATTAATATATATTAATATACAGCCTAATAAACCTACTGGCATATATATATATATATATTAGTGCTGGGCCGTTATCGGCGTTAACGTGCTGCGTTAACGTGAGACTCTTATCGGGCGATAAAAAAAATAGCGCCGTTAATCAAAGTTGGGTTGGGATTATAAATAGCTTTTTCGAATATCGTTATATTTTCGCGCAAATCTAATGTGTAGTATGACGCCGCGCCTACTGTCACAGATCGCGCAGTAGGGTATTTTCCTGTCAGGGACACAAGGTGTACTTTTACTTTGTTACGTTGGGCGACGTTCCTCTCGTTACTTTATTTTAATGCAATACGTTGTTAAATGAGTTTATTCCAAGCGCGCTGTGTCCTTGTATGGGCATGAGCGATGCTCATTTACAAATGAATCACTCTTTTGAGTCGATTCTGTTCAAAGACTTCATCAAACAAGTTGTCAGATGATCTGTCTAAATCGGTTCGCGAATCAGTTGATCTGTTCAGTTCCTCGCGCACTGAATCGTCTGAAGCGCTTTCAATTCACACTCGGAGTCGAAACAGAAGATTTAAATTAAGAGCATCAAGAGCGTTGGATGAAGTGGCCGATCTACAGTCTAGTCTAGTGAATGCAAATCTGCAAATGCATCATATTTTTGCCAGCGATGAAGATTTTTATTAGATGAACATCTTCGTAAGCTGTCTGTGAATGAATGATTCCACAGGACGATACATTCGATTTCATTTCATTCAGGTAACATTGTGTGTGTATTGCGCGTGTATTGCGCAGTGGCATAATCACACGAATAGTTTACATTGATTGAAACTAATTTGTTTAAAAATGAGGCTATTGCAGTAACAAGGCAGGTTCACATAAAATTCTTATGACATATGATGACATTATTTTTTGATCTAACGAGCATTGGCGATGCAAAAACGTCGTGCGTATTGTTTTTTTTCTCTTCCAATTAGCCTACTATGTTAAAAAAAAGGACGAAAACATGTTACTTGTTCAATTAATAAACAGTTTGTTTGATGACAAATCGCTAAAGATGAAATTGGCCTCCCTTTCTGTCATTGCGTTTTTTTTTTTTAACGATATTCGACTTTTGCTCATCGATTGTCGAATGGCATTTTTGGCAGAAATGCACATCCCTACGCGAGGCAAACTATTCTCAAAGACTTACTTTTAGTCATTATTTGGGTAGCACACATATTCTGAATGCCTTCGGGAGAATTCAAATGAGCCATTTTAATCTAGATTAATCTAGATTAATTTCAATATTAATCTAGATTAATCTAGATTAAAAAAATTAATCTATGCCCACCTCTAATATATATATATACATAGATGATAGATTCAAAATTATAAGACTATATTATATTATGAATATATATTAATATACAGCCTAATAAACCTACTGGCATATATATATATATATATATATATATATATATATATATATATATATATATATATATATATATATATATACACACACACAGATGATAGATACAAATATTATAAGACTATATTATATTATTAATATATATTAATATACAGCCTAATAAACCTACTGGCATATATATATATATATATATATATATATATATATATATAGATGATAGATTCAAAATTATAAGACTATATTAAAATTATGAATATATATTAATATACAGCCTAATAAACCTACTGGCATCTGTGTCATTACTGTTAATCAAAGAACAAAAGAAACAGAAATCCCTCACTGCTCTTGACTGAATAACTTTTGTAACTTTAATAAGGAGTCATCTATATTTTATTTCTAAAAAGAGTTATTTTACATTATATTTTCAATTTCTGAACTTTGTATATATTTGTGCTATTGCTAATTTGCTTATTTGTTGTTATTGTATTACTGACTTGTCTTTAATAATGTTTGAAATGTACATTAGTTAGTCTAGTAGTTTATTAGTTAAGGCTGCTGATTTGTGTTATTTATATTTAGCTACAACAGAATGTTTTGCAAAAAAACTATCTGACTTTTCCTTCTCTTTTTTTTTACCACATTGGGGAAAATCAATAAGCAGAATCGCAAAAAAAAAAAAATCAAACAATACCCAACCGGCATAAAATTAAATAATATGACAATATTGCATCCTTATTGGTTGCTACAGCGATGAATATACAGCATGACCAGTTTTATGAATGAATGGCTTGTATCGCAGGGGAAGCAACCTTACAGTGTGTTGAATTAAAGAGAGATGTGTGTTTGTTTATCGCTGTGTGTGTGCGTGTGTGTGTGTGTGTGTGTGTTTGCTCACCCCGTATCTCTCCGCCACCACACTCTCCACACTGCGCTGTTCTCTGTCGGCCTGCTCTTTCATCCTCTGATAGGACTTTCTGAGCCAGCTCACCCCTCCATCATTCACCACTCCAGCTGAGGGAGAGAGAGAGAGAAATCTGGGTAAAACATCTGTGAAATAAACACTTCCCGCTCAGCGTGTCCAGAGCACAGATAAGAGCGACTGCACTGTCAACATGAAACACCCCATTCTAATAACGTGACATATTTCAGAATGAAAAATGACAAAAAGAAAATGCAGGGAATCAATCATGAAAAATGAAAGCGGACGAGAGCAGGATGTTGGCTTTAAACCGTCTCTCCAAGAGTCACAGCCAACAAAGCTTTTAACAACTTGGGTTACACTATTAATAGTTTCACAAAGTTTTTTACGAAGTTTGGTCCAAATTGCAGCTGACCACTTAGAAATCGAAAATGTTAAATGCTAACCTTTAACAATCAACATTTCTGTTAATCAAAATAATACGTTAAAATGTCAAAGGAATACATTTGGTGTATGATTTACTTTGAAACAATTTTCCCTCAGAAATTGCAAGTAAATTTCACAAATAATTACAAAGAAACAGCAAGTAACACATTGAATAAAACATGACATTTTCAAGTAGAAAAACTGAAATGGTATTTTCCTGTAAAATGTAACGTAATTTTTTTATGGATTTTTCGCCTGCGACTGTGAGATAAAAATAATCTCTCGAAGTCTGACCATCTCAGATCGTCAAATTTATTATTGATTATTTATTTAAATGCTGAATTACGAGCGGCAAAATGTTCACGCCTTTAAAAAAAAAAAATCGTGATTTCCTCACTTTTGATGTAGGAGAAAATCCATGGTATTTAGGATCGAATCCAATCATACAAGTGTTTTCTAAATTTCTAAATGAGGCCCGTTGTTTCGGCATTCACCTTTTCTAAGCGCAGTTCTGGAGGTGGCCTCTGGGGGCAGACCACTTCCTCCATCTTTCCAGTAAGGGTTCAACTCTAACTTATGAAGACCAGCCTGAGAGAAAGAGAAAGACACGATAAACACAAACACACACTCCTCGTACAACAAAAACACGCTTTACGAAAGTGATCATTTCAACACATGGTTTGAACCGTCTGCATCAAGGATTTTTAACACTGATAATCAGACATGTTTTCTTGATCATCAAATCATCATATAAGAATGATTTCTGAAGGATCATGTGACACTGAAGACTGGAGTAATGCTGCTGACAATTTAGCTTTGATCACAGGAATAAATTTCCACCACGTGCTGTAAGCGATCGACCAATCACAACAGACTGGGCAATCTGACCAATCAGATTAGAGCAGCTCTCAGAGAGGCGGGGTTTAGAGAGACTGAATCTTTGAACGAACCGTTTCAGACACTGAGAGAAAAGAGTTGATGCTGTAATGTATATTATGAGAAAATTAAAGTGTTTTTTGACCTTGGATGCATGTAAAACTATTGTAGGAGAAATCAAAACAACATTAAGAACCTTTAAAATAGCATAATAGAGGCCATTAGTGTAAAGGTGGATCTTCACCAAATAATAAAAAGGAATGTGTCAGTTTTGAGTGTCCTAATGGCATTGATGTCAGCTAGGGGTGGGCGCTATACCGGTATGAACGTGACTACCGGTATTATGTTGTACCATGATGTGGATTTTGCGATACCGAGAATACCGTTAGATATTCATAAATTCAAATTTTGCAGTTATATTGTTTCGTTATTCCTTTTTTTTTGTTACGCTATTTAAAACACGCTGTGTATTCGTCGCACTCTTTCACTGTGTGTCTCTCCGTCTCTGTCACTCACGCGTCTCTCGCACACACACACACACACACACACAGCGTCTGTCTATGAGGCGCCAGACTGGACAAAAGCGAAGCGAACTCCACGAGCGACAGTGAGAGGCCGAGTGTGTCCGAGCATTAGTAAATTGATAATATATAATTACTATATAAGAGGTATGGAAGTTCGATAAATGGACAACAGTATAAATAAAAACAACAAATAAATTCTCACCACTGAATTAGCAGGATGTAGCCTACTTCTCTCTTTTGGTCAGTATACAAAAACCTCTCGGTTAACATAATGTTGTCTTCAATTAGGCCTAAGTGTCAAACCTCTCTGAAATCACACTATTTCATATTTACCTCATGTTGCACGTTTGCACTTTTTGAGAAAAACAATGGGACAATACATTTTTTTTCAGGTCTATGTCCAATTAAATCCCTCACCTTTTTCTAGTTATAGGGTTAAAATACATATTTTGCCTGTAATTTAACTAAGGTATACTAAAATCTCTCATATCGCAATATAATACCGATATCGTCCGGACAGTGAAAAATATGGTGATATGATTTTTTGCTCATATCGCCCACCCCTAATGTCAGCATGAACCCGAAAGAAAGATTTTACACAATGTTGTTTGAAGACACAAACGTCGCTCACCTGTTCAATAGCCTTTGCTTTCTCCCTCTCCACCTCTTTCTCTGCTTCTTTCTGCGCTCGTTTCTCCGCCACGGAGGTCGTCTTCATCGCCAGGAAGTCAAAGGTCATCCATTCATCTCTCTAGGAAAGGTCAAACAGACAAAGACTATAAAAAACTAGATTTAATGTATTGTTATGCCCAATAATAACACAAAAATAAGATTTTTGAAAAAAAAAAAAAACTATTTTTTGCTGCTAACAAAAACATTCTGGAGGCCGGGTGAAAAAGCATTTGTCTGTAACGTGCATCTCATTCATGTAAAGTAAACCTTTCGCGTCTTCATCACGTCACTGGACACGCACACATCGCACCAGCTCTCATTGAAAATGAATGACTTGCGGTTGCTTTGCAAATGGATGTCAGTGTGACGCTCCCTCACGGCTCAGAGAGAGAGAAGAGAGCGCTATTCAATTCCAGTAATAACAGTATTGAAGTTTCCACAAGTGGCTTTGCTGTGTAGGACAACAATCACCCACTCTGACACACTCTTATAATCTCAATGTCTGAAGACTGTGATTACAGACCACAGCCAGGATTGGTCATCGGATCACAGTAAACCGCCTCCATTGAGCAAAGTTATTACACGGCTCTGTGGAATACTTGATTCTGATTGGTCAATAGTGCCATCCAGCGGTATATTATTCCCAGATAACAACCGCTGAGAACAGAAACACAGGCTCATCCGGGTCACTGAAGTCAGCAGCGCTATACGCTTCCTATGAACGGTTTTTCTTCATGGAAGTTTTGCTTTTGGTGAGCTAATAAAATATTAAAACTCAATATTTTGTGTACGGTTATTTAATTATGCCATCCAGTATCGTGGCTTCGCTCAATGTTCTTGTTTCATTTAGTCGCAGCTGCTGCCATTTTGTGACTATTGTTCTGTACACTGTTGGATTATAAGATACAAACACGTACGATTTTAAAACAGTTTAATCTGAAATCAATATCTCTTATCTCCGTAATTATTTAAGTGGTGAAATGCTGTGTAATAAGTGGTATGACATAGCCTGGTAATACCAAACTCTGCTACTTCCGCTTTGCTTCATAGACAGAGTCTGGCATGTCATTAGGGCTGTCACTTTTGTGAAAAAATCCTGTTCTATTTTTGAGACATAAGTGTTCATTGAATTGATTGTAAAATCGATTTTCCATGTCTAAAGACGTTTCCATTTTCAACTCCAAATATAGGCAAATCCACGGACACCTAACAGGCATTAGGACGAGCGTAAAGAGGCCGCTTGAGACGCGCAAGTCAGCAATATTTCTGATGATTTATTGGCGTGAAGTTTCGTGCACAATGACAAACAGGAGCGCAACATTCAGGGATTGAGATTAACACCCTCCGACCCGCCAAATGCGGGTAAAAATTTACTTTGGCGGGAAACGCTGTCAAATCACGAGCCAATCTGGCGTGTTTCTGTGTTTACTCACTTTGCTGGGGAAGTTCGTGTAAGCCAAATCTGCGCGGATTTAGCACAAATACGCAACTCGTGAGTCCTCATGATATATTAAATACATCGTATGGGCAGAATCTGCGCATTTCTGCGTGAAGTACGTCACGGCTCTCAGCCCGCCCTCTGTTCGTTGATTGGCCGGCTGTTTTCAGGCCGGAGGAAAACTGAGAGACGTGTCGATGTCTCAGACTGAGTACAGAAGCGAACTGAAATAGAGCGGAAGTACGAAGACTGATGTAGTCAGGCTAGGTATGACATACAGTATCACTTAAATGTCCGTCTAGTTTGAACTTGCCGCGCTAACAATTGCTCTCTCCGCAGAAGCTTTGCGTTTTAAGACCCTAATAAAATATTTCAACTCAGATCAATATATTTGTAATAAGAGGGATAATGTACATCCAGCCGGTTGTTATCTCAGAATAAACCCCCTTCAGGCTCACGCAAGACCCTCCTGATCACCCTGGGGGGTTTATTCTGAGATAACAACCGGCTGGATGTACATTATTAGAGCCCTATAATTTCCACGATCACGGAATCGCGGAATTGGCTAATTAACGCGGAATCTAGTGTTAACGCGGGGCGGAATCTAGTGTTAACACGGAATTGGCCAATTAACGCGGAATCTAGTGTTAACGCGGAATCTAGTGTTAACGTGGAATCTAGTGTTAACGCGGAATCTAGTGTTAACGCGGAATCTAGCGGGAATCTAGTGTTAACGCAGAATCTAGTGTTAACGCGGAATCTAGCGGGAATCTAGTGTTAACGCGGAATCTAGTGTTAACGCGGAATCTAGTGTTAACGCGGAATCTAGCGGGAATCTAGTGTTAACGCGGAATCTAGTGTTAACGCGGAATCTAGCGGGAATCTAGTGTTAACGCGGAATCTAGTGTTAACGCGGAATCTAGTGTTAACGCGGAATCTAGTGTTAACGCAGAATCTAGTGTTAACGCGGAATCTAGCGGAAATCTAGTGTTAACGCGGAATCTAGTGTTAACGCGGAATCTAGTGTTAACGCGGAATCTAGTGTTAACGCGGAATCTAGTGTTAACGCGGAATCTAGTGTTAACGCGGAATCTAGCGGGAATCTAGTGTTAACGCGGAATCTAGTGTTAACGCGGAATCTAGCGGGAATCTAGTGTTAACGCGGAATCTAGTGTTAACGCAGAATCTAGTGTTAACGCGGAATCTAGCGGGAATCTAGTGTTAACGCGGAATCTAGCGGGAATCTAGTGTTAACGCGGAATCTAGTGTTAACGCGGAATCTAGTGTTAACGCGGAATCTAGCGAGAATCTAGTGTTAACGCGGAATCTAGCGGAAATCTAGTGTTAACGCGGAATCTAGTGTTAACGCGGAATCTAGTGTTAACGCAGAATCTAGTGGGAATCTAGTGTTAACGCGGAATCTAGTGTTAACGCGGAATCTAGTGTTAACGCGGAATCTAGCGGGAATCTAGTGTTAACGCGGAATCTAGCGGGAATCTAGTGTTAACGCGGAATCTAGTGTTAACGCGGAATCTAGTGTTAACGCGGAATCTAGCGAGAATCTAGTGTTAACGCGGAATCTAGCGGAAATCTAGTGTTAACGCGGAATCTAGTGTTAATGCGGAATCTAGCGGGAATCTAGTGTTAATGCGGAATCTAGCGGGAATCTAGTGTTAACGCGGAATCTAGTGTAAACGCGGAATCTAGTGTTAATGCGGAATTGGCCAATTAACGCGGAATCTAGTGATAACGCGGAATCTAGTGTTAACCTGTTAACCGTCACCAGTGCGTGGGCGCTCTGAAGCGTTTTTTTTTTTTAAATAGTTCAAAGTTACTATCATATTTAATGTGATTAACTTGACAAACTATACATCATTAAAACGATATAAGACTCAAGTTTCAGTATTTGACCACTATTGTATTCTGTGAAACTTATAGTGACAGTTATGTCTTAATTTGTGTCAGGAGTTATGAAATAAAAAAATGAGTCGTTACCTTTAATATGAATTATGAGCGTCAGCTGCTCTCATTCAGAAAAAAACTCCCGTGCGATCGTCATGACAGCGATTCACAAAACAACGTCCCTCAGGGCTTTTAGCTCAAACATGTGCAGATTTGGAGAAATATTGATAGATTCTCATAGGTTTACATCAGACTTCTATAGACAGGAATAATATTTATTGAATTTATACCCAAATGCGTCGATGTAATCATTTTGAGCGCTGTATACTCTGATTTACTGTGTTATCCATTCATACTGAAGTCTGGGGCGCTGTTGCACAGTAAAGTCCATAAATGGATCACATGAAGAAGAGCCATAATCATGTGACATTCAGGAAGTCCTGATACATAAACAAAGCTATCCGAGATCGCTGTAAAGTGCAGATAAAGATGTTTTGAAGACAATAAACATGATTGCAATGATATTTGATTTACCTGTGTTCTTCGAGTCATGTCAGGTATTTTCATAATAATAGATTATATGTATAATGTAATGCTAATCGAGATAGACTTTCAAATTGTGCAGAATACAATAAAATAATATATTTTCTATCTGATTTTTTTATCTGAAGCCAAATCAGATTACAGAAAGTTATTTAAAACACTCGACTTGCGCTATAAAGTAAGTTGGAGCACAAACATAGTTTTATTCTCATAAATTGTCGTGTATTGAGGGTGTGCTAAGCTAACATGCTAGCTAGTACTGAGCACCTGCTACCTAACTTCGATGTAATTTTTATGATTTTTTTTCTAAATAAGAATGCTTACTGAAATGTTTCGTTTTTCAAAAAGGGCATTTGATACAGTTTCACTGTGAAGTGAGAACTTTTATAAAATAAATGAGGGATTGAAACAGTGTGAATTGCTAGTCGTTAGTGATTATAATGCAGACAAAAGAAAAGCATATTTAGAGCAATAAACAGGCTGGAGAGGTGTGAATATGTGCAGGGGAGCCTGAGACTGAATGGGACTCGTTTTTGCATCACAAAACAATAGAGGCAATAGACTGAATAGATGCTTATAAGATGACAATAAACACCAGTCTAATCAAAATAAAGTCATATGACATGATCTTGAAAAACATTGAACTAAATACAGAGTTTTAGACTTATCATCTTCAGATTTTAAATATAACATGGTTAGACATGTGGCTTTAGCTGCAGTGCATTTCTAGATTGCTACAATGCCAACTTCAATTTTATTTTCATGAAGATGTTTCATAAAAATAAATGTATAATAACTTTACAAAACTTTGAAGCTATTTATAACTATTTTTTTTCATTATGACAATAATTAATTCTACATTTACAATAAACTTCCAGGTGTCAGCTTTCAAATGAGATCTTACTTGTGCTTTTAGTACAAAGGGTTCATGAACTGTATCTGTTTCAGTTTGGGAATGCCATATCTGGGGATTTTTCAAAAATGGGCTTGAAGCTTAACAGGTTAACGCGGAATCTAGCGGGAATCTAGTGTTAACGCGGAATCTAGTGTTAACGTGGAATCTAGTGTTAACGCGGAATCTAGTGTTAATGCGGAATCTAGTGTTAATGTGGAATTGGCCAATTAACGCGGAATCTAGTGTTAACGCGGAATTGGCCAATTAACGCGGAATCTAGTGTTAATGCGGAATTGGCCAATTAACGCGGAATCTAGTGTTAATGCGGAATCTAGCGGGAATCTAGTGTTAACGCGGAATCTAGCGGGAATCTAGTGTTAACGCGGAATCTAGTGTTAATGCGGAATCTAGTGTTAACGCGGAATCTAGCGGGAATCTAGTGTTAACGCGGAATCTAGTGTTAGCGCGGAATCTAGTGTTAACGCGGAATCTAGTGTTAACGCGGAATCTAATCTAGTGTTAACGCGGAATCTAGTGTTAATGCGGAATTGGCCAATTAACGCGGAATCTAGTGTTAACGCGGAATTGGCCAATTAACGCGGAATCTAGTGTTAATGCGGAATTGGCCAATTAACGCGGAATCTAGTGTTAATGCGGAATCTAGCGGGAATCTAGTGTTAACGCGGAATCTAGCGGGAATCTAGTGTTAATGCGGAATCTAGCGGGAATCTAGTGTTAACGCGGAATCTAGCGGGAATCTAGTGTTAACGCGGAATCTAGCGGGAATCTAGTGTTAACGCGGAATTGGCCAATTAACGCGATATCTAGTGTTAATGCGGAATTGGCCAATTAACGCGGAATCTAGTGTTAACGCGGAATTGGCCAATTAACGCGGAATCTAGTGTTAATGCGGAATTGGCCAATTAACGCGGAATCTAGTGTTAATGCGGAATCTAGCGGGAATCTAGTGTTAACGCGGAATCTAGCGGGAATCTAGTGTTAATGCGGAATCTAGCGGGAATCTAGTGTTAACGCGGAATCTAGCGGGAATCTAGTGTTAACGCGGAATCTAGCGGGAATCTAGTGTTAACGCGGAATTGGCCAATTAACGCGATATCTAGTGTTAATGCGGAATTGGCCAATTAACGCGGAATCTAGTGTTAACGCGGAATTGGCCAATTAACGCGGAATCTAGTGTTAATGCGGAATTGGCCAATTAACGCGGAATCTAGTGTTAATGCGGAATCTAGCGGGAATCTAGTGTTAACGCGGAATCTAGCGGGAATCTAGTGTTAATGCGGAATCTAGCGGGAATCTAGTGTTAATGCGGAATCCAGCGGGAATCTAGTGTTAACGCGGAATCTAGCGGGAATCTAGTGTTAACGCGGAATCTAGCGGGAATCTAGTGTTAATGCGGAATCTAGCGGGAATCTAATGTTAACGCGGAATCTAGCGGGAATCTAGTGTTAATGCGGAATCTAGCGGGAATCTAGTGTTAACGCGGAATCTAGTGTTAATGCGGAATTGGCCAATTAACGCGGAATCTAGTGTTAACGCGGAATCTAGCGGGAATCTAGTGTTAACGCAACGCGGAATCTAGTGTTAACGCGGAATTTCGCGGAATTTTACATATTTGGAATGAAATTCTGGGGAAAATGCAGCCGGGGGAAGCAAATCTGGGCGACACAAGCCCTCCCGTCATTTCAGCTCCGATGACGGCATCAAAACAATGAAAGCATGGCGAAGCGGCTCTCCACGGCTCTGCTTTCGTCGGCGAAAACGTTAAGAAACTCAACGCTATAAGCCCTCAGTACCGAGCCGAGCAGTTCGCACGTGACTTTTATGCAGTGTTTCCCACACATAGACTAATTCGTGGAGGTGCGCCACAGAATCAACACCGGCCGCCACATATTGCGTTTCATTCATTTTGTTTAACGCTATTTAAAACACGCAGCGCATCAGTTGCATTTCCTTTCCCTGCTCTCCCTCCGTCTCTCTGTCACTCACACGTCTCTCTCTCTCTCTCACACACACACACACACACACACACACACACACACACACACCCACCCGTGCACGTCTGTCTATGAGGTGCCGGACTGGACAAAAGCGAAGTGACACTGCGCGAGAGAGACCGAGTGTGTCCGAGAGCGCGCTCGACAGTGCGAGTGTAATTTTTATTTAAACTTATATAAACTAATATAGTTTATTTTCCTGGACAGTTTAAAGCTCATAACCATATTTTGTTGTTCCTTGAAGTACTTAGAGTGCAGTGTTATGTTGCATCATGCAGTATTTGTGCTGAAAAGTAAATGTCTGTTACCTCAATAAATTTAAGGTCATTCCTATTTTATTTGTGTGCATTTTAATCATTAACATTAAAGGCACACTCTTTTTACAACTAAAATAACAGTAAAGGGTAAAAAAAACACTGAATTCCCAAAAATTAAAATGGAAAAAACGGAATAGGGCCCTACATTATCCCTTATATAGACTAGGATCTTACTTGGCTAGTACTGGCCACTGTCGATGTGGGCGTGGCCTCAAGCTCCGCCTTCCATGGCTTGTCTCCGCCCCCTGAAGGAAGCTGGGCCTCCACCCACTCGTCCTCCGAGTCCTGAAAACAAATAAGGATCAACACAGGAAAGAAACGATGTTGTACGCTACCCCAACTTGCAAACGCCGTTGAAATTCACTGCAACATTTTAGTCATGCAACCTGAAATACCTGGAGAAAAAACTGATTAAATGTGGCGTTGAAATGTGGTTAAAGCACATACTTTAGAGCTGTCACATGATGCATTTTCCTCTTTCTTGGCTTTCTTCTTCTTCTTCTCTTTCTTCTCCTTTTTTGCTTTCTTTTCCTTTTTCTTTTTCTTGTTTTTCACTGCATGCTCCTGAGTGCAAAAAAACAAACAAAATGTGAATCCGTTGTGGAGAGAAACATGCACTATCACAATGTATTGTTAAAGACAACATGAAACTTCTTCTTTCGTAGCATTTTACCTTCTACAATATGATATGTATTCACAGCAATATCGAGTCGGGACTTGACTTAACGAATCAGGATTTGACTGGATTGAGAAATTTAAGGTATTATTGACCAATAGGATTTTTCCCTGTCGGTGTGGCATTGGTCAAATCAGATATGGCAACTATATTATAATTTCCATCCAAAATTGAAGGGTCAGTAAGCTATTTTAAGAAATCAATACTTTCATTCAGTAAGGATGCATTAAATTGATCAAAAGTGACAGCAAAAGCATTTATAATGTTAAAAAAATACTTTATTTCAAATAAACGCTGTATAAACTTCAAAGAAAATATGAAGCAGCTCAACTGTTTTCAACACTGATAATAATCATAAATGTTTCTTGAGCATCAAATCATCATATTAGAGTGATTTCTGGAGGATCATGTGACACTGAAGACTGGAGTAATGATGCTGAAAACTCACAGGAATAAATGACACTTTACTATATATTCACATTGAAAACTGACATTTGCAATAGTAATAATATCTATGTTTTTACAGTATTTTTAATCAAATAAATACAGCCTTGGTGAGCCGAAGAGACTTCGTTCAAAAGTCTCATTTTAAAAATCTTACCAACCGGAAGTTATTTTATGAATCATCCTCAATAAAAAAATGTAAAAAATTCATCATCATCTTTAAAGAGTTTGACCTCTGACCTGGCCAATCTGCTGCAGTCGCAGGTCAACATCGGGAAGCATCCATGTGTCTTCACCCCTGGCCTTCCTCTCGGCCTTCCTCCTCTCCTCGTTCTCATACTTCTCCTTCGCCTACAAACAGAAACAGGAGAGGAAAGCGGATGAGGATTCATTACATTAAACTGTCAGGTGGTTGGTTTTGACATTGGCTGTCATGAGGCCATTATAACTGAGTCATGACTCATGAATATTTTTCTTGACCTCAACTACAGTGGTACACATTGATTTTGTCATTAAAATGTTATAATGGCCTTATGACAGCCAATGTCAAAACCAACCACATGACAGTTTAAAGTAATGTCAACCCATAAAGTGGTTTCTTAAGTTTGATAATTAATCTGCTATGTCATGTTTATGACAGGTTGTGTTGTCTTAGTAATGTCAAGTTGTCATGGCAAAGACACTGACAGGTTATGATGTATTACTTTATGTCAAGGTGTCATAACAAAGACATCTCAAACAATGTCATATTTGCATTAAAAATGTCATAATTGAGCGAATGACACTTAATGACAGTTGTCATAAACATGCATAAAACCTCCTTCATATTCATAACATGTGTCCTGTCATGTTTATGAAGGTGTCATGTCAGTCTTATGCACACACACCCCTTCAAGTAAAGTGTCACCACATTTTATCCAAGTTATTTATGTGCAAGTTTTTGAGAAAAGTGAACTTAATACACAAGTTCAGTCTATAGGGCCTCAGCGTTACTTTACAAAGTGACATGTAACAGGCCTTGATGACGTTGTCATCTGTACGTGAAAAACGCAAATTGCATCGTTGTCGTGTAAACACACCCTTAAAGCAAAAACAATGGTCTGACTTTAGATTTGCTAAATTATGCTACATAAGACACCAGAACAAAAACACAAAAAACATCAGAAGACTGAATAAAAAGGCAAATTCACTCTCTGCCACTAGGGGGCGCTTATGGAGAAGCAGTGGTTTCCTTGGTTACCGCCGTACACAAAGCAGAGCTGCGCTTATAAACACTACTTTTAATGGAGGTAAAGGCACGTTCACATTAAAAACGATAACAATATTAGCGTCCACAGCGGCGGACGATATCGTTCTGTTTATTCTAAGTCACTTTAAATGCTCACGCTCTTTACAGCAGGATGGATTCTGATTGGCTGTCGATGTTTTTATCGTTCAACAGCTGGAAAAAAATCGTTCTGTGATAAAACTGATATTGTTTCTCTAGCTGTGGTGTGAACTCTGCTATTCTTAATATTGAAAACGATTTTTAGAACAATTTCTTTATTGTTATCTTTATAGTTATCATCATTGGTGTGAACGAGCCTTACGAGGAAAAGAAAATGCTATCAAAACTTTACCAAAGACAGTCAGATCCCTTCAGAGATACCTTCATATAAACCCCTCACCTCCAATTCAATATTATATTTTTCTTACAATGTTTTGAGCATCACGAACAGTATTTTCTCTGTTCTCCTGGTCTCTGTTAATGTTCTGTTTACAGACTTCCTATATTTCCACACGAATGACATGACAAATGACGCAGTTTCTGTGCATGTCCGGAACAGAGATCGGCCAAAATAAAACAAAAAACAGTCCGGTTAGGATTTATGGCCGGTGTATCTCTAGATAACACAGACACATAATGTGTTTTTTCATCAATGGTTCCATCAAGAACCTTTAACATCCATGGAACTTTTCCATTCCACAATAGGTTCTTTATAGTATGAAAAGGCTCCAAATATTATTTATTTTTTTAATCTTCTTCGCAAAGAAAAAGAAAAAAGAAGGTATTTTTAAGAACTGATCACTGAAAGGGTCTTTGGGGAACCAAAAATGGTTCTATGGCATCACTGCCAAAAAAAAACAAAAAAAAACTTTTGGAATCTTTTATTTTTATTATTTAAGAGTTTGAAACGTTTTTTTAAACTATTATTTTTATTTTTATATTTTATTATAGTTTAAGTCATTTTGTTGTGTGCTTATGTCATTTTTGTTATTGGTATTTTTATATTTCTATTTAGCTGTAATTTATGTTTATATTAGTTTAATGATTTTAGTACTTCAGCTTCAACTTGGTAATTTCAGTGAGTTGCCAAGACAACGTTTATTTTTATTTAAGTCTTTCAAGTTTAAAATTGTCACCTAATATTTATATTTTGGCTTTAATTCAATTACAGACAATGATTTGATAGCACTTTACAATTAGGTATCATTTGTTAACATTGAAAACATTTTTTAATCTTCGTTAATATTATTTTATATAAAACATTTACTAACACATTATTAAAATCAAAAGTTGTACAGTTGTAGTTGTATTTACTAACTTTAACAAAGATTAATACATACTGTAACATAGTATTCATCATTGTTAGTTCATGTTACATTAACAAATGGGACCTTATGTAAAGTGTTACTAAATAGGTTTTAGTATATGAGGTTTTAGAGTTACAAGCAAAAAACAAAAACACCAAAGAGGAAATCAGAAAATAAGGAAATTATGTTGAATTACATGGCAGCAACTTTAAATAAATGTTTAAAGGCCAGGAAATAAACCAAATAGAACTAAATAGAAGAGCTGTCTGTTATCAGGCGAGGGCAGAGTTTACTGTCCTGTTAAACTGATGATCAGTGATGTTTATATTCATGTGTAAAGATGTATATATTGCTAATCATCATTAGACATCAGGAGGGGAACATGATCAACCTGGACATTATCCAGAGAAAGCTCTTATTTACTGGGGTTTACCTGCACTGAACATCTACAGGTGACTGCCAATTTCATGCAAATTTAAAAGTGATGCATATCATTTTTATGTTAAGAAAGAAGCTTACAGAAATAGCTTCAAATATGTACATTTACATATTTGAAGGCCTGGCTGATTAAAAACAAAGAGCATCAGAACTCACTGCAAAAAGGAGGAAAACACTTTCGTTTGAACTTTTCTCATAATAGCTCATATTGTACAAACATAAATTGCAAATATGTTTATTATTAATTACCTATGTTATCATTCAAATTCACACTTGTGGATGACTGTGTTCATCAGCACTATGGACTGGTATCGCCCCCTAAAGGGAGTTTAATGCCAGTTCAGCTCAGAACTAACTAGTGACCAAAAAAAAAAAAAAAAAATTAAAATCCTGTCAGATTTTCAAAAACATGACGATCACAAAACAAAAAACAAATTTAAAGTCCCCCTGTGGTGAAAATCCAGCTTTTAATGTTGTTTATATGTCTATGTGGTGTTTTTAATATGCTTTAAGACACACCATGTGTAAATTCATAAGTCGGCAGCATTGCTGAGTATTTCCTCCTTAAAACTGCAGTGAACCAAAGACAGTCTCAAAAACACGGTTTGAAATCGCTGGTGTTTCTGACGTCACAAACGACCTTGTAACCAATCAGATCAACGTGTGATCGTCAACCAGTGGATCTCTGAGCTGAGTGAGTGAGTGGAGGCGGGGCTCATCTGCATATTCATAGAACCGCGCATACTAAATGAGGCGAGGGTGTCGAGTTACATTCAAGATATTTTAAGGCAAGCACACAAGAAAAAAAAACCTTTTGAATATGTCATTTTGGTGATCAAAGATGAGTTTTAAGGGATAAAATGATTGACTACAGGGGGACATTAACAGTTTAGTTCCTATAGAGTGTGTGGAGTAGGGATGCAGCGATTACCGGATTTCACAATTAACCGCGCTTTAAAACGTCACGGTTAATTAATCGTAAAGACTATGCTACACCGCGGACGGCACGGAACGGAACTTTTGCACCTAACACAAAACGAAAACAAAGTTACACCAGCGGTGCACCAGCTTAAAGTGTCGTGCTCGTCAACCACTGAGGGACTAAGCAGCGACGCTGTATTTCCACCGAAAAAAACGCCTTAAGGGCCTGTTCACAGATCGCGTCTTTTGCGCGCTCAAGTTCATTTCAAATGTAGGCGCACGGACGGTATCCGCGCTCATAATGGAAGCGACGCGCTCGTTTTTTCCAAGCGCGTCCGCGCTGCATCGAGATAAAAACATCTCAACTTTTCAGAATGCCGCAAGCGCACCGTAAGTCAAGTGACAAGAACCAACAGAGCGACGACAGACGCCTCCGGAGCGCAACCGCCCTAGCGCTTTGGAAAAAGGAGAACGCGGCGTGCAACTTTCAGCTTCCAGTGCAACGTAAAAAAAACAACAACAAAAAAAACAGCGGAATGTTTTGGTTACGCAAGTCTGTGGAAAACAGAATGTGACGTGCTTTCAAGAGTTTCAGTCAGTGAACATTTAACTTAATATCCTATTGCTTTCTCCTGTCTGTGTTGAGTAAATGTTAGGCTTTGTAGTTTTAATATGCCCACACTAACATAAGATCAGGGCCGTGTAGACTTCTAGGACTAACAATTAACTGCATTTCAGTTATTAATAACACTGCATGAGAGATGTTCTCAGTTTCTTTCTATAATTTGTACTCAAACTTCAAACAAACAAACCAAAATAATGAGATTATAATAGATGATTTCCTAAAGGCACATGTAAAATTTGGATTAATAATTAAAAAAGAGTATTAAAAATAAGTACAATAATATTGGTGGATAACATTTGGACTATATTTGTTTTCTTTTAAAAGAAATACATAGGCCTAATATTTAGCTTGCATTTAATTCAATAGAGCCAAATACTTTGTTTATTCTTATTTTCATTGGGATTTATTATCCCTTTATAGTATTATTTATGTTTTTATGTCAAATACCAATAAGATATTGTTTTCATGTTTTCAAGTTTTCTACCTCGGGTTGAAAATAAATTTAGAACAAACTAAACACTTAATAATTTTGTGATCTATTTCAATCAAAGAGTCCTGCAGCCTTTGACTTAATTTGTTATTTTTAAAAGAAAAATGCTGGATGTTTACAAAGCACTTCTCTTTAATTCCAAAGGAAGAGATTGATTATTGTTTGTCATTTTCTAATTTTGTACTGTGTTGTGGCAGCAATAAATAACACATTAAAATCTAGTGTTGAGTGTTCATGTGATATTATACATTAGTAGTGTTGTGAAATTAAGTGATGCATAATAATCGTGATAATCGTTAAATCGTGATTATTTCTCAGACAATAATCGTACTTACAAAATCTGTAATCGTTGCATCCCTAGTGTGGAGTGCATTGCACTAGTAGGAACATATATTATATATAGTATCACCTACTACTGAATACAGTCACCACTGTGAACACGGGAAATCTCGAAGAATCTTTCACAGTCAAACTTGACTTTTGAGAAAAACATGGCGGATGATGTGCAAGAAGAATGTCCTCGGGTCCCCCCCAACACAACTGATCTCTGATCATAACTATGTATGCAACATATTGGATATTTATGATATGAGACTGGTGCGGCCCTGACGTTCTTCTGAGCAGATTCAATCACTCTTAACACACATCATACCACGGGAAAATCTGGTAAATCACCCACACACACTACAAGATAATCAAGACTTTACCTAGGATTGTCAGAAGGGGAGAATTGGGTCCAAAATCGGCTCGTTATCATGTAGTGTGTGTAAGCCTTTAATCAGCCATTATCATGCTATTTTAAGATGATGATGATTGTGACTACTTTACAAAAAATACTGACATTTTTCTCAATGGAAGAAAAAAATTATTTTGAATATTGTGTGATTTCATTTAAATTCTGAGAACATTTAATTTGGCATGATTAAATTATATAAAAGCTTTACAGTGATTTGTAATGTATGACGTCGATGTGTATTTGATGATGTACTACGTCAGTTCTCCTTAAGTTTAACGTTACACTTAATGTTTGATCACCAAAGACAATAACGTTATACTATTTGGTCATTATGAAATATTGTGTGGGCTTGGCCATCTTTCTTAAAAATTAATGACACTTGCTTTAAAGTTAAATCTGATATTACTAAGTGTGCTTACTAAATTAAATCTATTCAATACAAGTCGATGTTCATAATTAATGCAGCCAAATATTGACGAATATCGGCAAAAATGATAAATAAATCACCTCAGAGGTTGAGGAATCACCAGCTATAAGACATCTGATCACAAAACATAACTGACACAAAAAACATGCATTCAGAAAACGGTAAATTACTGAAAGTATGAATGAGATGAGATGAATGTAAACAGATCTGTTAAAACAACAATCGCTTCTAATTCTTGTAGGTCTTCGAGTCTTAAACCGACTAAATCAGTTGTTAGATGTTAGTTTAAAGTGTTTGTTTGTTTTACCTGTTGTAAAACGTGTGCTCGTTCTTCTCTTTTGGACTCTTTTCTAGATTTAATGCTGTTTGAGCTCTCAAAACTCACACCGAACGCTGCCATGATGCTGTCGCAAACGTGATCTCACTGTCGTAAACATCTACCGTAATGCGACACGAATGCGACATGTCGCTTGTTCCCCTCCAGGTGGCGCTGCCGCTGAATTCTCAAACCCTAAGGTGCATTCAAATTTAAGGACGTTTTTAGACATTTCAACCATGTTATTATCATTTAAAAACAATGTTTTCTTACTATGTGAGATACGAACAAATATTCCATGCATTGTTAAAACGCATTAATAATAATGATAATAAAAAAGCAGGCGTAGTACGGTACGGTAAGTGTTTACGACAGTGGAGAGCATTAGCATTATGAAATTATATGATGCGAGTTTGAATCGCAACAGGCATTAAATGCACAAAATCCGGACGCGAGACGAGAGAGAGAGAGAACAAATACTACAAAAGGTAAAACAAATAAACACGTTAAAATAACAGTTATCTGTGTGTCTTTAATCTGTTTTCTTACAACATCTGATCTGAGCTCTTACTGTAACATTTGTCAGTATCAGCTTAATTCATTATATGCGTGTAAATTAAGCCTTTTGGGGCTAATGTCATGAGATTAATTAATGCATGTATTTTTGTGATTTATGTGGAGATATACCTACTGTTAGCTGTCATCACTGTAATCTCCATCAACGTAAATTATGACTAACAGTATCACTTGGATTTTGATATGTTGTGTTAAAAATAAAATCAAAGCATATTATAGACATCCTATATTATTAATTATTTGGATGTAAACCAAAGTATGCTCTTAAATGCAAAGATATATAATGAAAGTAAGACAAGAATACAATAACTGTGAAATAAAATTGTAAAATAAGACAGACACGTGTATTATTTTTGACTTTGGCAGACAAGATCATACATCACCTGTCATCCTACAAGAGAGGAACAAACAAGCAGGTGTAACAAGTGAAATATATATACTATGTATACCATAGTAAAGACAGAGTTTGTCGAAGAGGAGATTGAAGACATGAGTGATCCAGAACCATCCAGAATAAAACATGAAGATACTGAGGAGGAACAAACAGGTTGGTGTCCATTCTTGATTCTTCATTGTTGATGGTGGAGGAACATTAAGGTAACAAAGCTTCAGTTCAGAATTTGGTGGCTGAACTTAAGCAATCATTGGTAAATACCCCAGCTAACAAAAATATGACTTAGGGCGTTTTCACACCTGAAAGTCCGCACCAAGGTCCGAACCAAAGTTCACGTTTTGATACTTTTTATACTTTATACAGAAAGTTTTGGTTTGGTTTCACACTGCAATTATGCGAGCGCACTAAAGAACTTAACGTGACACACTCGCGTCCTGTCGTCATCATCTGTGTGGGCGGCATCTTGACATTGATTGGTTTGTAAATGGACGTGCGTCTGACGTCAGCGTGTCGTCAATTCGGCAGGTAACTTTGACAACATGAATGAACAGACGCATATCGTTGCAACTATATTGTTATTTTTATGGCATAATTACCTGCAGCACCAACTATACACAAGGCTAGTTCAAATTCGCCAAATGAACGTCCTCGTCGTGCGAACATTTTATCGTCGCCGGCAGGAAAGGAGGAGAAGACTGCAAGTTGACTTCTTATTATGTCATCAGACCATACTTCAATTAAAAACCTCGTTTCCTCCTCTCCCCATGTGCCACGGCTCATTTGTCCTGTCACCTTCTGTTTTTTTCAGCTATGCGGGAACCACCGGAGCGTCCTGTAAAAGGTCTGAAAGTCCGAACCATACAGAAATGCTTTCACACTAGAAACGAACCAAACCTTTGTTCGGTTTGATCCGGACCGAGACTACCTCTTTACGTTGGATCAAATTTCATCTGTTTAGGTTAGGGGTAGGCTTCACACCTGTAATTTTGATTCGGACCAAACTGAAAAGTCCGAAAGCCCGGACCAAACAAGGTAGGTGTGAAAGGGCCCTAAGAATGTTTTGCAAAAGTATGAAATTTCAGTTCTTTAAAGGGATAGTTAACCCCAAAATTAGCATCATTTACGCACCCTCAAGTTGTTCCAAACCTGTTTGAGTTTCTTTCTTCTGCTGAACACAAAAGAATATGGGCAACAAAACAGTTGATGACTTCCGTAGTGTGGGAAAAAAATACATACAACTATTTGGTTATCAACATTCTTCAAAATATCTTCTTTTGTGCTCAGCATAACAAAAAAACTCGGTAACACTTTATTTTACAGTGTTATTGTTACATATGTGTAATTACTATAGTAATAACTATTTATTATGCCTAATTACATTCAACTAACCCTCAACCAAATCCTAATCCTACAGTAAGTATATGTAGTTAATTATTATTACTCAGTACTTAAATGTATAATTACACTGTAACAACGACACCTTAAAATAAAGTGTAACCAAAAACTCATACCGGTTTGGAACAACTTGAGGGTGAGTACGCCTAAATGATTTTCGGGTGAACTATCCCTTTAAATGTTTTTTTTTATATGTATATTTTTTATACGAATGTTAAGGGAAGATTCCATAATTTTAGAAACATTATGGGAATGTTACTTTTGAATGTTCTTCTGAAAAAAGTAGTAACATTTAAAACAAACTTCCAACTAAAACACTTAATAAATAAAACATACCATGAACGTAAAGCTTTTGTGCTTAGGTTTTGAGAACATTATTAAGACCGGGGAAGGGTTGCACAAGCCATTCTTAAGTTCTTAGTTAAATTAGAACATAAAGACCATATTAAAGTGGAACTAACTCTGTACTTTATTCGGTTGCACCATTTGTTCAGGCAGAAAGTAGCTTGTAGGTCGTAAACCTTCTGTAAAGTAATGCGTATAGTTGCATATTATGACGTTTACCCTCAATGATCCAATAGCAGCCTTTAAATAAGTGAGCAGAAGTGAATGCTGTGAATTTAAGTTTATCCCTGATTCCAAGTTGTGGCCTTATGGTTAGATAGTCGGACTTGTGACCCAAAGGTTTAGAGTTCGCGTTTTACGTCAAAACGTGCAAAGGGACCTAAATAACTGAACAAATTTTATATTAACATTACTGGAAGAACGTTTGTTCACAACTTTGAGAGAACCTTGTCTGAACATTATCTAAAGTTCTGAGAACATTCTTTGTTTTCGCAAAAAAAATTACACACCATTTTTTTTAAAGGGTAACTAAACACTAAACCAACTTTTTTTAATTAATGATCTGTAAGACTGGGGCTTTATTAGTGCTGTTCATTGATTCGAGTAACTTTTTTGACATTTGGGTATAAAGTGTTTTAATTCTACAATATATGGTGTAAAAACGTCTGAGTGCTGCCCTCTTCAGGTTGAACGGTGACTACTGCAGTTAAATTTTCCTATTGGATGTTTGCGGTAGTTCGTGATGGTAGCGATGAGAGCTGACGTAAGCAGGTTTCAGCTTACCACGCCCTTGGCAGTATAAAAACCATATTGTTTCGTCAAAACCACTGTAGTGAGTCAGGAGTTGGAATTGCGAGTATTGAAAACGATCAGGATAGAGTATCCGTTCATCCCCTCTATCTCCGCTGGGCTCCGCCCACTTTTCCAGCATTTTTCAAATATTGCCAGTGGGTGGAGCAGAGACTATTTATATAGAGACATGCCACTTCCTCAATCCTTAATACAACTATTTAGGGAAAACCCGTAACGCCAAAGATGGTGGTTGTGTGCACATGCCCCGCCCCTCCCGCTGGAAAGCCAATCGTCTGCTTTTAACAGTCAAGCCGGGAAACATTTAAGCCTATCGTCTGGTTCCACTGACGCATGCGCACAGTTGAGGTTTGGAACAGCGTAAAATACGTTACTGTTTGAAAAGGCGGCAGATTTGATATGCAGTGTATGTGTGAGTTGTGTAAAAATCAGACATCCCAAGTCTCCCGGAAGTTCCGGGACTCTCCCGCAGATTGATAGCGAATCTCCCGGAAACTAGAGCGAGGGAGCAAGAGCTCGCACATACTGTGCTTCAAACTGTGTAGCGCGCGCACGAGAGAGAGGGAGAGAAGCCTTGCGCATGCGTAGTAAAAGTATAACCTGTGGGGAAAAGGCGTTTTAAACCTTATTTTGGGGCAAAGTCATCAAACTTTTTCAGCGATTTTTATCATATTCTACTGCTGTTTCTATACATGCAGTTTTTATGTCCCGGTGACCAGTGAAAGTGCAGTTCTGACTCTCTGCCCATTCATTTAGATAGGAGCCTGGTCTTGTTAGTCCGAAATAGCTGCCCGGAGGCGTTGCCAAGATGGCGGCCGAGTGGCATGACTTGCCTAAAAGGACTTTGGTGGAGTCAGGCTCTGACCAGGGGTTTAGTTACCCTTTAAATGATTTTATGAGAATGACAATCTAATTTTAGCACATCACATGCATGATATACATTTGTTTATTGAACTGATTTGGTATGTATTATGTTTTTTGTGTTACTTGTAGACTTGACAGACATAAAAGAAGAAAGTGAAGAACCGAATGAGGTGGAGGAGAAACATCCATATCAGGAATCTTTAATAGCTGAAGAAACATGTTCAAAGACGGAGAAGAACAAAACTCAAAGAACCCGAGCCAAAAACTCCTTCACGTGCCCTCAGTGCGGAAAGAGTTTCACACGAAGAGACAGCCTCAAGGAACATGTAAGAATTCACACGGGAGAGAAACCTTTCAGCTGCCACCACTGCGGGAATAGTTTCACGCGTAAAGAGAGCCTGAAGTATCACATGCGAACTCACACCGGAGAGAAACCCTACATGTGCCACCAGTGTGGAAAGAGTTTCACGTTTAAAAACAACCTCAAGGTTCACGTAAGGATCCACTCCAGGGAGAAGCTGTTCATCTGCCCTCAGTGCGGAAAGGGCTTGACGTGTAAAAAAAGCCTTAGGGACCACATTAGGGTGCACACTGGAGAGAAACCGTTCAAGTGCCATCGCTGCGGAAAGACGTTCAAGTGGGCGCACAGCCTCAATAATCATCTGCACTCTCATTCTGGGTTGAAGCCTTTTAACTGCGTTTATTGTGGTGAAGGTTTTACTTCATCCTCCATTCTGAAAAACCACCTGAAGGTTCACACAAATGAGAGGCCGTATGTGTGCTCTCTGTGCGGAAAGAGTTTCATATGGCCAGGCAATTTTAAAGAGCACCAGAAAAGACATACGGGTGAGAGAGATCACGTGTGCTTTGAGTGCGGCAAGACTTTTACCACAGCTAAACGACTGAAGGAGCACCAGAGGATTCATACGGGGGAAAAGCCTTACAAGTGCTCACACTGCGATAAGAGATTCACTCAGTCTGGCTCGCTGAAAGTCCACGAGCGAGTTCACACTGGAGAGAAGCCGTACCACTGCCCAAACTGCGGGAGGAGTTTCTCTCAATTGACAAATCTTATCACTCATATTAAAAAGCATTGCAAGAAATCATCACAGTGAGAAGGTATTTTCATGTCCAAGTGTGGATGAACTGAATATGTTTCTCCCAAGCGGTGTAAAAGAGATTGGTATGGTAATGGATACGGCAATGTTAATGTATTTGGTTTTGGTGGAATGGATCTAGGGCTGTCACTTTACGTTCGAAAATCGATTACACAATCGATCGGACCACCCAACACAAGTATCGAAAACGAAAATAGGGAATCGATTTTAAAGGCCCTTTTTTTTTTTTTTTTTTTTAAATGTGTTTTAGGTGGACAGATCAATACAGCACACAGAACATGTAGGATGTTGGAAAATAACAATGTCTTTTCTGTTAACCAAATGCTTTTTAATATTCGCTATTACTTCAATGCAAGTGAACAAGCGCGCCGTTATTTGTTGCGTAGTGACGTGTGTGTGTGTGTGTGTTCAAGTAAGCCAGAAATGCGCAGATTCTGCGCAATACGCTGTATTTAATATATCATGAGGACTCACGAGTTGCGTATTTGCGCTAAATCCGCGCAGATTTGGCTTACACGAACTTCCCCAGCAAAGAAAGTGAGTAAACACAGAAACACGCCAGATTGGCTCGTGATTTGCCAAAGTTCATTTTTACCCGCATTTGGCGGGTCGGAGGGTGTTAATCTCAATCCCTGAATGTTGCGCTCCTGTTTGTCATTGTGCACGAAACTTCACGCCAATAAATCATCAGAAATATTGCTGACTTGCGCGTCTCAAGCGGCCTCTTTACGCTCGTCCTAACGCCTGTTAGGTGTCCGTGGATTTGCCTATATGTGGTGATGAAAATGGAAACGTCTTTAGACATGGAAAATCGATTTTACAATCGATTCAATGAACACTTACGTCTCAAAAATCGAACAGGATTTTTTCACAAAAGTGACAGCCCTAAATAGATCTGCTGCGCTGCTGTAGAACAAGTGCCGAGACTTTCCACTGCCAATGCATTCACAGACTTTCTTATGTTACTGTGAGCATGTAACATAAGCCCCTTTCACACAGCGCGTTGATCCATGGAAATTACCTTAACGCAAACACGTCCCGGGGGTTGATGCCGGGATCGGGACCTAGTAACATTGTCACAAAAGCCAGGCCCAATGCCGTAAGGGGTGTGTCGTAGTGATGCCGCTCGTGCCATCGCACAGGGCTTTCTACAACCTATGCTATGGGGAACGAGCCACTCGGCAAACCAAGTGGCGCTACTGGGGAGTATGTACTCGTCTTCGTAGAAATTACGAAGAGGAGTGTTGTAGAAATTTTAATCTTACATTGATTAGTAGTGAAGATTACTAGGTAGTAGGGATGCAACAATACAGTTAGCCCACGGTTCAATACATACCTCGGTTTTTTAACCACGGTTTTCGGTTCGTTTCGGTTCTGATGGCTTGACACATAAGAGTGTTTTTTTGTTATTCTATGCTTAGGCAATAGGAACAGTAAGAGATTAAGGAGAAAAAAATGTATACGATTTATTGCAATACTCCTTTATTTTACTTGAAAGCTAAGAAGTCCACTAGTTCCTAGTGTATTGTATAATACAAAATTAACACTGACATTTCACAGCTGCTGGTAGCTCATGTACTAACTGGGGAACACAAATTCCTAAATTTTGAAAATAAACATACATGTGAAGTTGGTAAACATAAATTGACCATTTCAAATAAACAAAAAAAAATGTTGTTTACCGTTTTTTTCCCCTTGGCATTATACTCAACGGCAAAACCGAAATGTCCCCACACCACGGATTTGAAAGACGCCGGCGCTTCCTCGTACTGTAGCCTCACTTCACCGCCGCTCGCCATGTTAAAGCGTGGAATCATGGTTAAGCCGCGCGCGCGCCCCCTAAAGGCTGATTTATACTTCTGCGTCGGACCTATGCCGGAGACTCTAGACTACGCGTTGGTTTTCATTTATACTTCTGCGTCGCTGTCCGCGTTGACGCGCAATTACACATGCAGAGGGAGAGTGTGAAACCCGGGGAGCGGTTCTAGTAGGCCAATCACAGGGCTTGCGTCCACGTAGAATTGACGCGCTGTTACATTTTTGGAGAGGTTGCACATCAGGGTACGTCGAAGGGTACGCGCGCTACACACAGCCTACGACGTAGCTACGGCGTGAGTTTGATGCAGAAGTATAAATTGGGCTTAACCTTTACCTGTCACCCCCCCCCCTTTTGATAATTGACATTAAAATGCACTATACAAACTTAAATGGTTGTAATTCAAGAATGCTTTGGAATATAGACCTAACTTTGGTCTTGTTTTAAAGAAAACAATCAGCAGATTATTACTGAAGTGAAAGCACTTAAAAAAAATAAAGTATGAAAAAGTTATGGAAGTTATAATTTACAGTAAATCAAATATACTTTATAAATATATATTTTTTTACTATAAAATAAATATTTTACAAAATATGTTTTACTATAAAATTACTATGAAAGGAAAGCTATATATCTAACCAAGTTGTGTTCTAAATTTAAAGTTGATATCACAAAAATTTAAGTTCCCATGAAATTTTGTTTAGGCGTTATACCAAAAATAGCCACCGGGTGCCATTGAATTCCATTGAATTTAATTGTATGCATTCTGCCATAACAAATTAATAAATTTCTATCCAAATATCACTTCTGTCACTAAATATAGAACCTTGAGACTCAGACCTTTCTGACAATGTGTTTTGTCAAGATTAGAAAAGTTTTTGATAATAAATTATGAAAGATGATGCCCAAAAGGGGAGGGGCCTAATAAAAAATACCGTTTCTATGGTAACGCAACGTCCAATTTCAAAACGGTTTTCACAGGATGAATTCTGAGTTCGTAAGCTTTCAAATGATACCTAATTTATTATAACTACTAAAATATGTGATATAATAATAATAAAAAATTATATATATATATATATAATATATACTATACTTTTTAGAGGACTTCTTACTTTACTTTTAAAATAGAATTTTATCTTTTTTTTATTGACAAATACTAGATTATGTTTTATTATGAACTTTTAGCACTAAAAACCAAAGTTTCAATTATTAAAAGTGTGTGCGTCGACTTTTTGTGACAAAGGTCAGAAACTCCTGTAATGACGTCGATTTCTTGTGGCGCACTCTTGTCATAAATTCATATATTACTGTTCATTCATAATTTGTGAGAAAAAAACAGCGCTAAAATATCTATTTAGGAGTCTTAGACCTTTCCAACGATATATAGTTTGTCATGACTAGATTAGGATTTAATAGTAATATAGTGAAGTAAATTTAGGTTGCCCGTATACGGGCAGGTGACAGTTAAGGGGTTAACTTGCGGCCGTCGCGGGGAGGAGTTTTCTCATCTCAGCTCGTAGACACAAACAAGTCAATTCGGAGAGAAATAAAACGCACATAAATTATTTAAACGTAAAACCGAAAAAAAAAACCCCCGCAATTCACAAGCGCGCATTGAACCGTGGATGTCGTACCGAACGGTTGAATATTATATTGAGAATTGTGGCATCCCTACTAGGTAGTCTGAGCCATGTGTTTCTATTGAACCTATTCAATGAGTAAAAATACAGATGTGTAGACGTTTCAGGAACGTATGGGACAGGACCTCTGACCTTGGGGACTCAGTTTTGGCCAGTTTATTTCAGTACCAGTTTGTGTCTATAAGTAGAGACTGAACAGCAGTCAGGACCTTATCTGGGTGGGTGAAAGGTACAGCGGGTGAAGAGGAACCTTGAAAAGAGTATAAAGGCTGTCTCATCTCTTCCTGTGGTGTGTCACTCTCTTGAACAACGTAACTTCTGTGTACTAGACTGAACCTATTCTTGCAAGAATAAATACTTCTCTTTTTATTAATTTGACTCTGAGTGTCTCTTACGCAGTGATGATGTTTAACATAATTTTTGCCACAACAGGAGTTATCAGCAGATCTGACAGGAGTTATCAGCAGATCTGCCAGGAGTTATCAGCAGATCTGCCAGGAGTTATCAGCAGATCTGACAGGAGTTATCAGCAGATTTGCCAGGAGTTATCAGCAGATCTGCCAGGAGTTATCAGCAGATCTGACAGGAGTTATCAGCAGATCTGACAGGAGTTATCAGCAGATCTGCCAGGAGTTATCAGCAGATCTGACAGGAGTTATCAGCAGATTTGACAGGAGTTATCAGCAGATCTGACAGGAGTTATCAGCAGATTTGACAGGAGTTATCAGCAGATCTGCCAGGAGTTATCAGCAGATCTGACAGGAGTTATCAGCAGATTTGCCAGGAGTTATCAGCAGATCTGCCAGGAGTTATCAGCAGATCTGCCAGGAGTTATCAGCAGATCTGACAGGAGTTATCAGCAGATCTGACAGGAGTTATCAGCAGATCTGCCAGGAGTTATCAGCAGATCTGACAGGAGTTATCAGCAGATTTGACAGGAGTTATCAGCAGATCTGACAGGAGTTATCAGCAGATTTGACAGGAGTTATCAGCAGATCTGCCAGGAGTTATCAGCAGATCTGACAGGAGTTATCAGCAGATCTGCCAGGAGTTATCAGCAGATCTGACAGGAGTTATCAGCAGATCTGACAGGAGTTATCAGCAGATCTGACAGGAGTTATCAGCAGATCTGACAGGAGTTATCAGCAGATCTGCCAGGAGTTATCAGCAGATCTGACAGGAGTTATCAGCAGATCTGACAGGAGTTATCAGCAGATCTGACAGGAGTTATCAGCAGATCTGACAGGAGTTATCAGCAGATCTGCCAGGAGTTATCAGCAGATCTGACAGGAGTTATCAGCAGATTTGCCAGGAGTTATCAGCAGATCTGCCAGGAGTTATCAGCAGATCTGACAGGAGTTATCAGCAGATCTGCCAGGAGTTATCAGCAGATCTGACAGGAGTTATCAGCAGATTTGCCAGGAGTTATCAGCAGATCTGCCAGGAGTTATCAGCAGATTTGCCAGGAGTTATCAGCAGATCTGACAGGAGTTATCAGCAGATCTGACAGGAGTTATCAGCAGATCTGACAGGAGTTATCAGCAGATCTGACAGGAGTTATCAGCAGATCTGACAGGAGTTATCAGCAGATCTGACAGGAGTTATCAGCAGATCTGCCAGGAGTTATCAGCAGATCTGACAGGAGTTATCAGCAGATCTGACAGGAGTTATCAGCAGATCTGACAGGAGTTATCAGCAGATCTGACAGGAGTTATCAGCAGATCTGCCAGGAGTTATCAGCAGATCTGACAGGAGTTATCACACCCTGACGTCACGTGTCTTAGGGGATCTTTACGGGATGTGTGTGAACGCACTCACAGATTCCGGAAAATTCACTGACAGTGTGAATGAACCCAAATCAAACGATCCCGGGACAAATCCGTGTATTTTCCGGAATCTCTGTGTGAAAGGGGCTATATATGATTTAACCCTTATAGCAGATCTATACAGGTGGAGCTGGGGAAGGCGGAGGGTTTCTGAAAGCGGTATTTGTTTGAATGTTGAACCGCAGCGAATCATGATGCAACAACAACAACAAATCAGATCAGATGTAGATAATGATGTGATCACGACCAATGAGACCAAAAGACATCTAAGCCTGCGCCATCTAGAGTTTCAAGCCAGAACTAGGTATTTTCATGAGTAAAAAATGTTTTGAAAAGGTTTGTAGGCTGGGTTGTGCTTGTTTCATCAATGTCATTAATTATTTTACCTGTTAACTGTCACCCGCCTTTTTTGAGCATATATCTGAACTTAAATCATTGTTATTTATGAATGCTTTGAAATACAGACCTATGGTTGGTCTCCCTATGAAAGAAGACACTCAGCAGATTATTGGAAAGACTACAAAAAATGAAAGTCTAAAAAAGTTATAGAAGGTAAATATTACTGTGAAGCAAATGTACTGAACTAAATATTTATTGGTAACACTTTACATTAGTTAACAGATTCATTAGTTAACATGAACAGCATATTAATTTTAACATTTACTAATACATTATTAAAATCAAAAGCTGTATTTGTTAACATTAGTTAATGCACTGTGGACTAACATGAACAAACAATGAACAGCTGTTTTTTTATTATTAACTAACATTAACTAAGATAATAAATACAGTAACAAATGTATTTCTCATGATTAGTTCATCTTAGTTAATACATTCACTAATGGTAACATAGGAAACATTATTGTAAAGTGTTACCCATTTATTTTATTTAAAAAAAATATTTTACCAAATTAATATGCACGCTAAAATCAAAGCCATATGTCTCGCCAAGTTGTGTTCCAAATATGAAGTTGATATCACAAAAATGTAGGTTTTAAAATACTGTTGGTTTCATGTCCATTTTAAAAACGGGTTTCACAGAATGAATTTTGAGTCTTTAAGCTTTCAAATGATCTGATTCATTATGATTTCTAAAATATGGGGGCAGAAATAAAAATCATGGGACTATGATAGTTAACAGGCTATTTAGCAGCTAATGTGTTGTGTGAACAAATGCTGAAAGATGGAAAATCATGCAAAATTGAGTGTCTTTTAAGTGTATTAACTAAGTGACCTACTTTATCAATTCAGCGAACAAACTAAAGGCCCGTTTAAGGACGATAATGATATAGTTAAAAAAATCATTCTAAATATAAAAGAACAAGAGATACACAACTATAGCAGCACAGAGAAACGATATCAGTCGGAGAATGATTTTTTCCTGCTGAGGAACGATAAAAACATTGACAGCCAATCAAAATCCATTAAAGCGTAATGGATTCTGATTGGCTGTCAATGTTTTTATCGTTCCTCAGCATTCTGATTGGCTGTCAATGTTTTTATCGTTCCTCAGCAGGAAAAATATCTCAAGCATTTAATCAAGCACTAGTCGACAAAACTTCAATTATCGTTCGTTGGTGTGATCACTAATATAAATAAAAACTAAAAGTTTAGTGAATAAACACACAGCCTGAATATAAGAATAGTTCTGGTTTCGTTCTGCTATTATTCTTTCATTTAATTAATGTTGTTGTATATGAATCATGATTCGACTAAATAAATACATTTATTTCTTAAATACATAAGTAATTTGTAGTAGGCTATTTTAATCAAATGTTTTCTTGTTCTTCTAATACAGAGGTAGAAAGGATTTTTAAATAAATTTCAAAGGTGAAAATCCTGCAGTTTGTCTTCAACGAAATGCGATTAAGTTGCAAAAGAGATGTCATTTCTGTCAGAATATTGACAAGAATCAAATATCTTAGAATATAGAATATCTTTTGGGGGACCAACAAAATAAAGTGTTAGCAGATATTAAGCAGACAGTCTACTAATAGGCCTACTCTAATGGCAGTTAGTTGACACGTAGCTGCAAAGTTACTTATAGTTAGTAGAATGTCTAAAGCGGACTATCAAAATAAAGTGTTACCTAATTTACTCACAAGCGTTTCCACAGCACATTCAGTTACAAAGGTAACAGAAACGAAATTTATTTTTGTGTGAACCATACCTTCAATAAGATTACATCACATAAATGACCTTTGATGAACAACACGACACCATGACTCCACATTTGGCTTTTCCCGAATCGAAAGTTTGACTTCAGTTGGATCTGAATATGAGTTCTGCTCACGGTGACAACTTCGGGCAACGTTTTTTATGAGTGAACAAACTCCCGGATCGGCTGAAGCTCTTCTCACACCGAGTGCAGCGAAACGGCTTCTCTCCGGTGTGCACTCGCTCGTGTGCTCTCCGGCATCCCGCTCTGCTGAAGCTCTTCTCGCAGTGGGAGCACTTGTACGGTTTTTCTCCGGTGTGAATTCTCAAGTGCGCGTTTAAGTGTCCGACTCTAATGAAGCTCTTCCCACACTCCAAACACACATGATCTCTCATGCCGCTGTGTGTTTTCTGGTGGTCGTTTAAATGGCTCAGCCGTGAGAAACCCTTCCCACAGAGAGAACACAAGTGAGGCTTCTCTTTCTGAGCGCTCAGGTGTTTTATAACGGTGATAGTGTGAGAGCGCAGGTGAATGTTGCGTTGATTTGGCTGACTGAAACTCTTTCCACACTCATGGCACGTGTATGGCTTTTCTCCAGTGTGAATGCGTATGTGCCTTCTTAAATCTGCTTTTTGTATGAAACTCCTGCCGCATTGCGGGCAAGTGAAAGGTCTCTCTCCGACGTGAAGTCTTGCGTGGTGATCCCTCAGGTTGTTGCTGTGTTTGAATCTCTTTCCACACTGAGGACAGATGTACGGTTTCGCTGTAGTGTGAACACTTAAGTGGTCCTTGAGGTTGTTATTGTATGTGAAGCTCTTTCCACATTGATGGCATGTGTACGGTCGCTCTCCGGTGTGAATTCTGATGTGAGTTATAAGAGTCCCTTTTCGAGTGAAACTCTTTCCACATTGAGGGCAGGTGATGGAGCTTTTGGCTTCGGTTCGGTCCTGAACGCAACTCTGTTCAATCTTTGACCACATTTTTCCAGAATGTGGATTTTGGTGCCGATGTATCTTCTCCACATTATTCAGGTGATTTTTTTCATTCACTTCGTTCAGGTCTGAAAGTTTAAATTGAAAATCATTAAAATCAAATCAAAAGAGAAACAAAAAGGGAAAAAGTTAATAGCATAAAGCAACAGAAGTCAAATATATATCTGTATGTAAACTTCAATGTGATGACAAACATATCTGGTATTGAACTGCTATATTGACGATGGGCCGCATCACCACCCCGAGTGTGCAGTATTTTCTAATAATTCAACGGCCCGGAGTCAATTATTACGCTTATACTACAGTTACCAGACCTCAAGACTTTATCAGATGTTGTATTTCAAGATGTTTGTCAGGTTTTTGTCCTTAAAACGCTCTTGTTTGTGGGACTAATTTCTTACGCATCTCATCCCTCGCCTCCGTTGCTAATTTCAAAACGTAATTTAAGAGCTCGTAACGGAGGCTTGAGCCACTGATAGCAGATCGACACAGTTATTAATGCTGTTATTAGAGAGATTAAGTGTGTGTGAATTACCCGAGTCTCTCAACAGTGTTCAGCAGCAGCGTCTCTACTAATAGTGAAACTGTAAGTTTATCAGCTTCAAGAACAGCGCCGTTATTCCCTCGCTAGTGAGAAACGCCATGTAGCTTTTAAGTTGCTAAACTATTTTACTGATACAATTATCAGAGCAGCGCTGAAAACACATTTCTGTGCGAGTGTGTCCGTACTGTACGTGTGTGTGCGTTTGAGCGGGAAAAAGAGAGTATGTGCTGTCCGTACATACTTCCAAACATGGAAATAATTGGTAGTTTTTAATCCTATTGTTTACTATATTTTTTTGTGCGGTCAGTGTCATTGTGGGTTTTTGCTCTTTTGCTGTTGTCGGCTGTAAGGACCTTTTAAAGTAACTGAAATCATTTGGCGAAGTGATATGGAGCTGTAATGCGGTCAAAACCTGCTGGAACTACTTCATTACTTAATTGCACACCTTAGAATGTTCATCAACCAATCAAATTCAAGCATTCAACAGTTTTTAAAAAAGGTTCAATGAGGTTCTATATAGAACTCTAGTGTTCTTGACTCAATTTTAAAGAACCCTTTATGCCAAAAAGGTTATATATCCAGGATCCATCTAATTGTAACATAAGAGTGGCGCAACCATTTGTAAATGTTTGAATGTGTCCGGCTTCCGTAGTCATTCGCTTCTGGTTATATTTAGTTGTACAAAACAGCTTGTTATGCTGCTTGATATTGTAAACTAGTGTTTCTTATATTATCTATTGTCATCATTTTAATAAACAGTGGTTTGTAGCGCAAATAGTTTTACCGTTTAATACACTTTGTTATTCTTCTAGTCAATTCACAGAAAATTGTTTACTTCCACGTTGAAAAATAAGGTGGATAGGGAGAAATGTCTTTTAATAGCAGTCAACAGTGAAGTATTAAGACAAACTGAAGCTTTATTAATGTTTCTCATTTGTCAACAATGAAGAATCAAGAATGGACACCAACCTGTTTGTTCCTCAGTATCTTCATGTTTTATTCTGGATGGTTCAGGATCACTCATGTCTTCAATCTCCTCTTTAATAAACTCCATCTTTACTCTAGTACGGCACACAGATACACCTGGAGTGTCTCCTGCGTGTCCAGATGCACTTCTAGCCTTGATGATGAGAATATTCCCAGCATTTATTGCTGAATTATTTTGAAAGGGCTGTGATCACTCTGAAACAAGAGAAGAAACATAAATTACTGATTTAAAAACACATCCCACAAAAATTATAATCTTTCTTCATTATAACTCATTCTGAGATTCCTCAGATATCAACCACAATTTGAAGAAACTGTAACCAAGTAATGTAAAAAGAAAAAAAAAGAAATGACAGCATACTATAGAAATAAATGTACAAATAACAACTGATCTTCATGTTTGTCTACCACAAATTTAACAGACTGATAATTAAAATGCTCTTATGCTCTTCTAGGAACAATATAATGAAAATGAATAAAACTAAAATAATGCAGTGCTGACACCATCTTTATTTAATCTACAGACAAAGAAATATTAAAAATGCCATAATGTATTATTTAAGAGAAATAGCATGGAATAACAGGAATCATGATACAATTATTTTTAAATGTTAACATTTTTTTTAAATTATGTTATTTTATAATCAACTTAATTAGAAAAGTAGAACATAGATTGATGACCAAAGTGATCAATGAAGTAAATCCTTCATGAAGTATGTATTTAAAATAGACTTTGCACAGAACGATATTCTCGGCACTGTAGTGCAATAAAAATGAAGGCATGTGCTTGTAATAATAATTACTCATTATTATAATTATACCTAAACACTAAATATTAAACGGACATGTATGAATTTCGCATTTATTTACAAAAGATCCTTACGCTGTCCACTGCCATGTTGCTGCGGCAAACGTGTTCAGAACTGTAGTAAACATCTGCCGTACGGCGCATGCGAGTGTCGCATCGAGCAGCAAACACGATTCTTCCTGCGGGAGGCGCTGAATGACTCCGAAAACCGAAACCTCAAACACACACACACAAAAACCTTTTGTAGTTTAGTCTACAAAGTATTATAGTTAACATATATTAAGGCCAAATAACAAAACAAAAATCCACAAGATAAATCTCCAGTGATGTATTAAAACACAGACAGTAAGAAACCAAACACAGTTCGAAATGTGTGATAATGTGTGGAGTTTCCTCTAAATCAGAAAAATCTAAACATTATTTTTTTTTGCCATTCCACAGCAGAAAACAAAGTAAAGGGACAAAAGCTAAATTAGACTCTCAGAGAATAATGCTTTTATTTATTTGTATTTGTTTGTTTAATTAATCTATTAGAAAAGGGACCATGTACAATTATTGACATAGGCCTAAATGTTTCCATTAAATGCATTAATTTGAAAACTTATTTTCCATTGCACCACAAACAAAGCAAATTATATTAAATAATGTGAGCAGCTGGTCTTTCTACATCTAGACACAGCTTCATTTGATCATTACAACTTTATAAAATACTGAACATGCTGAGGCAATATTCTGGTCTGCTTTGGCATTTATTTTATTGAGCTATTCATTTTTATTATTGGATTTTTTTTGAGGGACAATGCACATTTTTTTCATTTATGATATACGGTTTCTTTCCACTGTGAATTATGCGATTCGCAAGGTTCTCTTTTTGCACAAAACTCTTTTCACACCGAGAGCAAGTGAAAGTGAAGTGGTCTTTCTTCATTTAGTTCTTCTCTTTCCACTTTTACTTTCATCAAGTCTAAAAATGAACATATTAAATCATCTAAATTAAATCAAATACAAAAGCAAAAAGTAACAGTATATGTAATCTTTGATATGATATAATATATATGATGACAAATGTTCCTCAGTAGTCAGTAATAATGAAGAATCAAGAATGTTTGTTCTTCAGTATCATGTTTCATTTTGCATGTTTCTGGATAACTGACGTCCTCATTCTCCACTTTAACAAACTCCATAGTACTATGTATTGTTGATTAGTAACATTTATTTCCCATAGTATGTCAGATAGATTACAATTGTTGTTACATCTGGAGTTTCTCCTGCTTGTTCTTCTCTTGTATGTCAGGAATATTCCCAGCATATTTGATTTGATATGCAATATATGCTAATGTTTCATCTTGACATTACAACGAAACGGCTTATGACTCGTTTGAAAAACGATTCATTTAATTGACTCAGAGTCGACTCTCTCTTTGAAAGAAAATAACTTTTAAGGTGTACATATAAGGTGCACTTTCAAATTTAAAACTTTGCAGGATGTTTTTATTCACTTAGACACACTGCATGAAAGGTCATTTTCAAAAATCCATAATAGGGGCACTTTAATTTTCCTCGCTTTTTTGTGTGTGATTATTTTAATTCCTTACTGTGTAAAGCACTTTGAATTGCCAAAGTGTATGAAATGTGCTATGTAAATAAAACTGCTTTGCCTAATGTTGCATCACAATAAATAAATAAAATGGATGTAATTGATTGTGACAGTGAATAAAGAATATGCTGATGTACTACATGGACTCGAGACTTGGAATTTATTCAATTCAATAGCATTCATGTAAAATATAAATTAAAGTAAATTTACTGTTTTATTCTGTAAAAATAAAGTGCAGTAAGGGCATCATACTGTAAAATGAAATTGCAGTAAGGGCATCTTACTGTAAAATTAAATCACGGTAAGGGCATCTTACTGTAAAATTAAATCACGGTAAAGGAATCTTACTGTAAAATTAAATCACGGTAAAGGAATCTTACTGTAAAATTAAATCACGGTAAGGGCATCTTACTGTAAAATTAAATCACGGTAAGGGCATCTTACTGTAAAAAGTAAATCACGGTAAGGGCATCTTACTGTAAAATTAAATCGCGGTACGGGCATTATTTGTCCTATTATTATTACACGGAACCTGTGTAGTAGCCGCTACTTCAGAAGAAGAACGTGCATCCGTTTACTATCAATGAACCACCGCGTCCAGTATAGACACTATCACGAATTATGAATTTTCATGTAGCCAGCACTAGTCAAACAGGAAGATTATGGACACGTCATATATCTGCAGGTAAGAAAACAGACATCATGGCCAAAATGTGTCATGTAATGGAAATTTTACATTTAGATGTGTTTCTACTTATTTTATCTTTTAGATGTGTTCTTTTATCTTTTAGATGTGTGCAACTTTTATTAACTTTGAAGAACTATATACTCATAAGCATTTAAAGGAAGATGTTCGTATAAGCTAAAGGACATTATTAGAGATATAACCAAGCTGTTAGAGATACATAAGTTAAGAATAGCTTTGAAACAAAATGTTCTGGGTTACTGAGAAACTAAGAGGCAAAGGGACTGTGTGTACTTCAAATTACCTATTGTATATTCCAAGTGTGAAATGTGTGCAGGTTCTGATCAAACCAAAGATAGGCAGAAGGTGTGAATTCGAACAACAGCTTTAAGCAGGAAACTTAACACGAAGATAGATGAAATTGTTCTG